CGGTACGGTCGGACGGTCGTAACCGGGTACGGTAACGTAGTACGGTAGGTACGGTACGGACGGTAGGTACGGTAGGTAGGAGGTAGGAGGTAGGTAGGTGGAGAGAGAGAGAGAGAGAGAGAGAGAGAGAGAGAGAGAGAGAGAGAGAGAGAGAGGAGGGGTCGCTCCGCCTCGGTGGACGATGCTGCTCAGGCGACCGTGGGCCCTTGCGAGTCCAACGGAAGCCAGGCTCACGACGCAGCCCAACCGTCGAGGCAGGCGGCGGCTGGCCAGCAGGCCGGTGTAGCTAGGTTTGAATACCGCAGCTCAGTCATCGCAGATCGCTGACAACGATGTGGAGGGGCACGTCCCTATTCGGATCCACCAATCGGGCCTGCCTCGCCACGCTGCAGGCTGATCGGGGCGCCCGGACACCGCACCGAGCCAAGCAGGTGGGTAGAGCAGGAGGTCAGAGACAGGCCTGGCCTATAGGGTCCCCGGCGGCCTGATCTTCGCTTCTTGGCTGCAGCGGGATGCCGGCCTGCCTAACTACCTGCCTCTTGGCTGCCGCTCTTGAGCCAGCGCGTCGGTGGGCACGCAACGGCGCCGGCTTGGCGCGCCGTGCCTTTTCTTTGTTTCCTGCCAGAAGCTGCCGTCGAGGACTTGACCTAGCTCGGCAGGCGGCCAACCAGCGCACTCTTACTGACTGCTATTGCCGTCTCGAGGCCCAAGTCCAGAGCGTATGGACCGGACCGTACGAGTCGACTGACGCAGCCTCGTCGCGCATTGGCAAGGCAAAGGGGCCGGCGGCTCGAGGGCGGCTCTTCACGAGCAGCGCGTGCCGAACATGCGTATTTGTACGAGCGCGACGGTGCGCCGAATGGCCGGCAGGCAGGCCAGGACGCCTAGCCTGCCTGCATGCAAATCATATCATCCACACGTACGGCCTGCACGCCAATTCTGGCTCGGGTGCGGCTCTTGGCGAGCGCTTCGCAGGCAGGCCGCACAACAACGACGACCAAGCAACAAATAAAGATCGACCGTCGATGGCTGACTACCCAGCGTCCCCTCCTCTCGCTCTGCCCATCCAGGTAGGACGACCGACGGTAGCCCTCGCTCGTCATCCCCATCCCCATCACCATCATCGTTCATTTCCACGCAAGCCACGCTCCTTTGACTTGACCCCCATCCCTCCGCCCCTCGCATCCTCCCCAGCCTCGACCTCTTCTTGGCCGGCCGTCCTGCCGTGCTTCGATTGGCAGCCATGTCGCAAGCCTACTCCTACGGCCAGCAGCAGCAGCCGGGCGGCTTCTACCCGCCGCCCCAGCAGCCGCCTCCGCAGGGCGGCTACTACCCTCCGCCTCCTCAGATGAACCAGCCCGGTTCCTACGCCCCCGCCCAGGGACCCGGCGGCTACCAGGGCCAGCCCAACGGCGCGCAGGATAGCTACTACAATCAGGACCACCGGCCCTCCCAGTCGGCCTACTACGGCGCGGACGCAAAGATGCCGCTCAAGCCTGAAGGCTTCGAGGGCCAGCGCCTCGATCCCAAGCCAAAGTGGAACGACGTGAGTTGACAGAACACAGCACGGGCCCAAATGGCGGTCGATGTTGCCCCGCCGAGCACCGCTGACGACTGTGGCGCTGCGCCTCCGAATCCTCGCCCAGGTCATCTTCGCCATCCTGTTCCTCGCCGTCTTTGCCGGCTTTGTCGCCGTGTCGGTCATCTCGTTGCGCGGCTACGCCACCTCGGGCATCAACGAGACTGTCGGGTCCGACGGCAATGCCAGCTCGACCTTGAACGGGTCCACGGCCATCATGTGGCTCCTCTGTTGCGGCGTCGCCCTTGGCCTCTCGGTCATCTACCTCTTCCTCGTCCGCACCTTCACCACCTTCATCCTCGAGGCCACTTTGCTCCTCACCACGCTTGCCAACATCGCATACGCCGTCTACCTCTGGGTCCGCGGGTCCACCGCAGCCGCCATCATCTTCACCGTCTTTGCCGTCCTCTCGGTCGTCGCCTACTTTTTCATGCGCAAGCGCATCCCGCTCGCAAAAATCCTGCTCAAGACCATCATCCGGGCCGCCGACGAATACAAGAGCGTTTACGTCGTCGCCCTCGCCGGTTTGATCGTCGAGACGGCCTTTTCCGCCTGGGTCAGCTACACAATCGTGGCCATGTACCAGCGCTTCGAGCCGTCGGGCGCTGCCGCCGGAAGTAGCTCCAGCAACAGTTCGGTCAGTCTTCTGCAGCTTCTCGTGTCGCGCAGTCGCACAGTGACGAGCATCGAGCTGACTGTCTTCGTCCCCGCATCGGCGCCCGATGACTGACGTGCTCGGAACAGGTCATCGGCCTGATGGTCTTCATCGTCTTTGCCTACTACTGGATCTCGGAGGTCATCAAGAATGTCGCCTTCACAACCGTCGCCGGCATCTTTGGCACGTGGTACTACAACGCCTCCAAGCCCGGCAAGGTCGCATGGGGCGCCTTCCGCCGGACGATGACCTACAGCTTCGGATCGATCTGCCTCGGCTCGCTCATTGTCGCGCTGCTGGACCTGCTGCGCGCGTTCTTCAACATGGTACAGAGGCAGCAGGCTGCCGAGGGCGACCTGGTCGGGACCATTCTGGCGTGCGTCGCGAGCTGCTGCGTCGCCTGCATCCGTACGTAGAGCTCGAAGTCTCCCTGCCCAGGCCATCGACAAGCTGGCGCGCGCGCGTGGAGGGCTTACTGACACGTGTTCACTTCCCCGCTTCTTGCCATCGCCTCGGACCGACAGAGTCGCTGGTCGAGTTCTTCAACCGCTACGCCTACATCAACATCGCCCTGTACGGGAACAAGTACATCAAGGCGGCCAAGGAGACGTGGACGCTGCTCGTCGACCGCGGCATCGATGCCCTCGTCAACGATTCGCTCGTCAACATCGTCTTTTCGTGCGGGGCCTTTGTCATCGGCCTGCTCACCTCGCTCTTTGCCTACATCTACCAGCAGAAGGTCAACCCGAGCTACCTTCAGCAGGACTCTGGCTACTACAGCATCATCCTGCTCGTCTCGTTCGGCCTCGGCCTCAACATTGCCATGGCCATCGGAAGCGGTTCGATCGCGTCGGGCGTGAGCACCTTCTTTGTCTGCCTCGCAGAGGACCCGCACCTTATGGCCCAGCGCGACCCGCAGCTGTTCGAGGCGATCCGGAGCCGTTACCCACACGTCATCAACGCCGTCCAGTAGGGTCTGCCGAGTCGACATGTCACCCATCTTCTTGGTCGCCCGCCGATATATCCTACCTGTCCCTCGAGTTGGCGTTCGGGTGGGTGCTCTTGCCTGACCCGTCGCCGCGGCAACGTGCCTCTAATCTTATCGATCATTGCAGGGGATGGCGGCGAAGCCTCGTGATCGCGATGCCGACATGTGGGCCGCGTCACAGTAGCTTGAGGTGACCAGTGATCTCGTTGACGAGCGAGACGGGAGCTGCTTGGGGTTGTTGAGGGCAGGCCAATGTCGATGAGCAACGTGTGCGGCCCGAGGCCGGATCAGATCCATCCCGCTTGTACCTACCCGGTCCGATGCCCAGCACGGTCCTCGAGTTTGGTGCGATCTGCGTTCTGCCTCTGCAGGGCGCAGAGGGAAGCAACAGGGGCGCTGGACCAGGGTGAGTTTGACGCGCTGCGCGGCGGGTGGTCGGCGGTGCAAGGGCGGCTCACGCGTCGATGATTGAACGAGCCGCGAGGCCGAGACTTCTGGCTTTGGCCTCGAGCCCCTTCATTGTCGCCTCGTCGGGGCACTTGAGCGCCACCTTTGCCTGGCCGAGGCGCTCCCATTGCTTGACGAGCTGCGTGGGTAATGAAGCGAGGGGGTCGATCAGAGATGCAGGGTGGCAAGATGGCGTCGTTCCTGGCAAAGGGGCACACACCTGTGGCGTCTGTTTGAGGGCCGCCTTGTAGGCTGCTAGCGTGGCGTGACTGTGGTTCAGAGGGGAATTGCAGCGCAGGGTAGGGCGTGAGTGGGTCAGGCCCGGACCATGACGTGCGTGTGTGCGAGGTGGTGAGACGTACCCGCACTGGGCGGCAATCTTTCCCTTTTCCATCTTGAGATCCATCCTGACGAGGAGGACCTGTCGTGGCAGTGGGGGATGGGGCGTGTCAGCTCCCGTGTCTGTCCCTCTGTGTCCGTCTCTGCCTTGGCTCGTGCAGACGCTGGGTTGAGTCGCGCTGGGTGCTCACCATCTTGCATTCCTCGTTGGGGTTGAGGGTGGTGTGCTTCTTGTCGCTCAGATCCGCTGCGTCGTCGTCGTAGTCGCTGAGGTCGCTGTCGTCCGAGTCGTGGTCACGGCGCGATGCGATGGACCGGGACTGGGCGTTGTACGACAGCAGGGATCGGCCCATTCCCAGCCAGTAGCCGACGGTGAGGGAGCAAAGGCCGACTGCGGCCAGTAGCGGCGCTATGAAGGCGGTGAAGGTATCGAGTGCGAGTGACGAGGGGCGTCAGCCGGCGCGCTTCCTCGGCGCAGTGCGATGCGGTGCGATGCGGTGCTTACCCGGAGTAGTCATGGTTGAGAATTGGGGCCCCTGAGATGGATGGGTGGTGGTGGTTGGATTGACCATAAAGGGGTGGAATGGGCGGCGCGGCACCTATGTATTTGGTGTGATTTCCGCGAGCTTTTCTCAGAGGTGAGCTCCGTGGCCCTCTTCCTCGCTTTGGACTTCTTCCAAAAGACAAAGAGACACGCTCGCCTCCACACAGCTGCGCCTTGGTTAGCCTGCACACACACACACACACACACACGCGCCACCGACGGCCGGCCTTGGAGCGACGACTCTCGACTGCCTCACTCTTCATCACCACCCCGGCGGAGCAACGTTAGACACCATGAGCGACCTCAGATCCTCGCTCCTCAAAGCAAGGCTCACCAAACTTCCTCCAGTCCCTCCATGGCCCGCAGAGCCGCTGCATGGTGAGTCGGCCCCTCATCCCGCCCTCTGGGCAGCCCCGACGAGCTGCCGCTGACCCCGCAGCTCGATTGCGTGGCGTCTTTCTTCCTACGCCACCGCAACAACACCGAGCAGAAGACGACGAGGACGACAGTGACGCAAACTACCGCCACGAGCAGGACGAATCCCGCGACAGCTTCCCAGGTCCTTCATCATCCTCCGCCCTACTACCGCACAAAGAAAAGACGAGCCGCCGCACCCATCGCAATCCGCAAGACTTCAGCCCGCTCACCGCACAGGGCTACTTTGACCAGGCGCTCGAGGTCGATGTACCCCTCTGCCAATCGGAGCCCGTCCAAGCAACGCAGAGCAACGCCCCGCACGCCAAGTTCCGAGTCTACTACACACCACCCCGACCCAGCCCGCGTCACCCGGCACCCAGCCAGCGCGGACCTCGCCATGCCAACGCCCCACCATCCGGCTCGTTCCAAGATGTCTCGCTCAGCGCAGCCAGCATGGCACCTCCCACGGTCGACGAAGAGTATGACGACGGAGGCGAGTCGGCCGGCCCCGGTACCCTCTTCCTCTTCCACCACGGAGCAGGTTTCAGCGGGCTCTCCTACGCCCTGACCGCCGCCGAGATCACCCGCACCACCGAGGGCCAAGTCGGCGTACTTGCCTTCGACTGCCGAGGACACGGTGAGCTGGCGGCTACTGTTGTCGGGCTTCCTGATCGATCGAGGATGCTTCCACTGACCAAGGGCCCTCCTTCCGGGATCAACGATCTGGCAGGCCGCACCAAGCTTCCCCACACCAGCATGCCCCTCGATATGTCACTCTCAACGCTCACCGGCGACCTTGTCTCTCTCCTGAAAGCCATGTTTCCCGACCCTTCCCAGATGCCTTCGCTGATCCTCGTCGGTCACTCAATGGGCGGATCGGTCGTCGTATCCGCGAGCGAGCAACTGTTCCGCTCTGGCTTCACCCGCATCGCCGGCGTGGCCGTCCTGGACGTCGTCGAGGGGACCGCTATGGACGCGCTCGAGGGGATGCGTTCCATCGTGCTGAGCCATCCGCGTGGCTTCGACAGCGTCGAGCAGGCAATCGAGTGGCATGTCGACAGCAAGACGATCGCCAACCCGGACAGCGCCAGAGTCAGCGTGCCGCCGCTCGTGGAGCGTAACACTGATGTGCCTGACGAGGTGGCTAGGACTCGACAGGCGGACAGCGAGCCGATGGAGGTCCTGCAGGACCACGAAGGCGCTGCGGCGCAAGAGCCCGGTCAGGGCGAGGAGGCACAACGGTTCCGTTACAAGTGGAGAGCGGATCTCTTAGCCACCGAACCGTACTGGCGAAGCTGGTTCCAGGGTCTTTCGTCGAGGTTCCTTGGAGTCAAGACGGCCCGCCTGCTCCTCCTGGCCGGCACTGACCGGCTGGACAAGGAGCTGATGATCGGACAGATGCAAGGTGGGTGGCTTTGACCGCAGCTGTGCCGCAATGGTGTGTATCGCTGACGCTCGGAAGGCCCCGCATTCTCCCACCAAACAGGCAAGTACCAGCTTGCTGTGATCCCCGATGTCGGACATTGCCTACAGGAGGTGAGTGACGCTGGACATTCCGTGCCTTCGAGGCGGCTCTCCGCTGAACCGCCGAACGTCGGGTTGTCCCTGTCACCTAAACATCGTCATTTGCACCGCTCCAGGACGCTCCCGACAAGACGGCTTCGATCCTGGTCGACTTCTGGAGGCGCAACGAGCGTATCAAGCTGCCTCTCAAGGGTATCAAGAAGGTCGGTGAGGCATAATTATAGGCGTGCGGTGTCGGTCAGCCTCGTTGGCCGAGACGTTCCCCGTGGGTTGGATTGGGGGCAGCGTCGCCGCCAATCTTGAATGCTTTGCGTCGGCGGTTCTCATTGTGGCTTGTGCACGGGGCGATGGGAACGGAGCGCTATGGCCTTCGCCTGGCCCCTGTCAGACCTAAAGCATCAAGCAGTCCTCCTGACCTCTGACGGCTCGTTGTTGTCGACGCAGCCCCTTGTCTTGCCTGCGACGGCTGCCGGCTTCGCTGCTCTCTCGATTGCTGCAGGCCCGTCCGGACGAATGCGCTAAACTTGCCGAGGAGGATAGACCCGATGCCCCATACGGCGCCCTGGACAAGGGGGGAGAGAACCTGATCGCGGATCGTCACGTAGAGGAGCGGCACCCTAGCATGCGTACGGTTCGGCGGGGCAAAGATGGGGCCTGGTCAGTCTCGGTTGACATCGCATTGTCGATCACGCACTGCCGTTCCCGTCCAGAAACGGCCTCGCCGAGGAGCGCTTTGCCATCAAGCACGCACCACTCGACCCTTAGGGCGCCAATCCAGATCTCTCGTTCGCCGTCGCTTGCCCGGGTCCTTTGCAGGTGGTGTGGTTTTTGGGGCGCTGCGCTGCTGCTCTCGTCTCCGACCTCGACCTCGCCCTCGGCATCGTCTCTCTGCCCCGAAGAGCGCTTCTCATCGAGCTCCTCGCTCTTTTCTTGCTGCGCCTGCTCTTTGTCGGTCTCGTGTAGGAAGCCGCGGATGGTCGAGATGTAGGACTGCTCGAAGCGCAGGTCGGGCACCGCCGGCAGGGCCGAAAGCGGAGACTTGTACGAGTCACGGCCATCGCTCGATGCCGAAGACGAGGCGACAGAAGTGGCGGACGAAGTTAGCGAAGAGGATCGACGCGGCATGGTGCAGAGGGTGTGCGGATGCTGTGGTGCAGATCAGGGGTCTTCGAAATGGACGGAGGTGCGATGAATGAGGGGTAGGGAAGGGGGAAGGGGGAAAAAGTGGAGAAGCCGGCCAGGTCACACGCTGCACGCACAGAGCGGGGCCGACGCACGGACGCGCGCCCGCGCATCCGACCATGCGACCCGATCGCACGCCCCAAGCTTTCTTTTGATTGCCACCGGGATGACAGCGGATCGAAGACGAGATGCTCATACCAAAGACGGGACTCTGAATAGCGACTTGACAATGGCTTCCGTGACAGATCAAAGGGTATTCAGGCCTTGGCCTGACCATACACCTGCTCAGTGTAGCTGCCGGGGCCAAAACCGGCGCAGCGAACCTTGGTGGCCTTGGCGCCTTCGAGCGCGCGACCATTCCTGTCGACCTGGTCGACCCAGCCGCCTCCTCTCTGAGCGGCGGGAGGCAGAGCATCATCGAGCAGCCTCATGATGCCGATCGCCTTTTCCTCCTCATACGGTCGAGCCACCTGTAAGCGCGCGCAGGAGGAGACGGCCAGTTGGAACACAACCCGAACGTCAGCGGGTCGGCGTCGCCATCTTCTGACGGCTCGGGCAGGATACTCCGGACAGCAGAGCCACTCACCACCTGCACGCCGACTGGCAGTCCCGCCATTTTCTTGGCGTCGTAAACACCCTGCGTGTACAGCTCAAAGTTGACGAGGTGGCTGCATTTCTTGAGCTCTGGGTCCTGCGACCATTCGTCGTAGGTGCTCCTCGTGGCCTCGGCGGTGTCGGAGTTCTTGAAGTCGGCGGCCCGGTGCGAGTCGGTCTCGGCGCTGACTCGCGTCACGGGCAAGGTGGCGACGGCGCAGTCGAGGATGTTGTAGAGTGCCGTGGCGATGCACATCATCGCCAGGTTGGTCGCGCCGCCGTGCGGCACGGCCGGCGAGGCCTGGACCGGGCAGATGATGGCGTCGAGCTCGTAAGCGTCCCACACCCGCTTCTTCCAGGCGTCGCAGAACTTGGTGCGGCTCTCGGTGACTTGGAAGTACTTCTTCGCGCTTCTCCTGCCCGCGGCCAGGACCAGCCTCGCCATCCTCGCGTCCCTCAGCACAAAACGCGCGATGAAGGCAATGATCCTCTTCAAAAAGACTGGAAGCCTCGCCAGCAGGAGAGGCAGCATCAGGACGGGATCAGCCCGGTCCTTGCCCAGGTGCGGCACGGTGAGGTAGTCGTAGCCATCGGCCGAGCTGAGGCCGAGGAAGTGCTCGAGTCCCTCGACGGGCTGGACGTCCTTGGGCGCGATGGCGACCAGCTCGACCTGTTGGCTGGGGTACTTGGCTCGCAGGGCTTCGATCGACTCCTTGACCGCTCGGTAGCAGGCCGGGGTGGTCTTGATGAAGCCATCGGTGAAATAGTAGCCGACTCGGAGCGGTGTGCCGCGCTTCTCTGCGACCTTGAGCGGCTGGAGCCAGGTGGGATTGTATGAGCTGTGGATGGTTCCGGCAAGGCCGACCTGTTTCATGAGCCTGTCGTGCTCGACGGTGGCGATGGCAAGCTCGTCACCAGCCTGCTCTGCATCGCCTGCAGTCACTCTGGGCCTGGGAGGCTGCAAAGCCTGGACGATCGCAGAGTGGAAGGCCTCAAGGTCCTGAGCGGATCGGGTGATGGGGCCTGGTACCGCCGTGATGCCTTCGAAGCCCTTGGCAAAGTCGGCGCTGCCTGCCATGGGCCAAACATTGGCGCTCGGCTTGAGCGAGTAGAGGCCGCAGTAGCCGATGGGGATGCGCAGGCTTCCACCAATGTCGGAGCCGACGCCCGCAGGCGATCCATCGCTGGCGATCAACGCGGCCTCGCCGCCCGAGGACCCACCGCAGCTGTGGTGGGGCGAGTATGGGTTGAGTGTTCTGCCAAAGACGGGGTTCTGACACTCGAACGCCAGCATCGTCTGCGGGATGTTTGTCTTGACAAAGGGGATAGCGCCAAGGTGCTCGGCGAGCAGGACGATTGAGGCCGACTCGGTTGGAGCCGGCTTGGTAAACCAGGATGTGAAGCCGAGCGAAAGCGGCACGCCCTTCATGTTGTAGTGTTCCTTGATCGAGATGGGCACGCCGTGAAGCGGGCCGACCAGCTTGCCCGTCTGCTCAAAGTACTTGTCGAGCTCGGCCGCACGCACGAGGGCATGGTCGAGGTTGACTAGCAAGCCAAGACAGGCGAGAAAGGACACGGATAGGTTGAGGACAGGTTGAGCCTTGTTGTCGCTGGCAACGACGGGGGCGATTCAGATCGCCACCTGGTAAAGGACGTATCGGCTTACCTTCGGTGATGCAGTTTGTGCGGATATGAGCTCGCCTGGCGCTGCGGATGTATGCGGCGAGGACATCGACGGCCGTCCAGCGCCTGGTTTCGATCCCACCTGTGATTGAGGCGAAGTCGGCGGCGAGAATCTGGCGATCGAGGGGTTTGATGCTGATGTCCATGCCGTTGAGCACATACTCGCCGGCGTCTGAGCCGTTGAGGCTCTTTTCGATCTCGTCCTTGCCGACCGTCGAAGAGGGGGGCAGTGCCAGGGCCAGAGCGCGATCTCGAGCCTGGAGGTGGGCCTGGATCTTGTCGTAGTTGTGGATCCTCTTGGATCCGGAGAAAGGCCACACCATGGTTGCGTGTCAAGGCGGGGGATGAAATGGGGGAGGCGAGGGACGGTAGACCTGAAAGGCGGTCGATTGATATCCAAGTCGATGCGATCGGTGGCGGGATGTCGGGTGAAGAGTGCTGGGTCGAGCAGCGAGCAAGATAAAGGTGGCTGCGCAGCGACGCTCGGGCCGCCAACGACTGAGGAGGGGGCACTCCGGGTTTCGGATGCAACGGCCTGCCGGTGCCCGCTCATCCCCGCTGAAAGCGGGCCGGGCACGGCAGCGTGTCTTCGGAACCGAGTCATGCTGCCGAGGCAATGCCGAGACGGCCCCGGCACCGAGAGGGGCGGAACGTGACAGGTGGCAAGGGTGCCAACGTGCTCAGCCCCAAGGGTCCACGTTCACCACCACCACCCTCCCTTAGCTTTAGCTTCTTCCCCGACCAAGCCGTCCCCAGACCCTCGCTCTCCCTTCGTTGGCACGCAGCAAAAATGCAAGAAGGACACCGGCGACGGAGTCAGTCTGGGTCGATTTATTACCACCGGTGGAACCCCAGGTACAGTCCGTGAAGCAATCATGAACAGTAGCTTCTCCACCCCAAAAGAAGCTGTCGGCAAAGGATCGCTGGCCCAACCCGTTGTTCACCCGCCCGTTCCTGCCCTCGCGGCCCTGGAGCAAACGTGGACTGCACTGGTTGTACTATCGGTAGCAGCGACAGCACCCTTGAATGCCACTCGTCGCCCCCGCGCTAGATGCGAATTCAAGCCCACACCAGTCGACGTCCTGGCTGCTTGCCCCTGGCCTGCATTCGCCGCGACTTGATCCCTGACTCGTGGCCTCTTGTGGATCAGCCTGGTCTCGCGGGCCGCGGGCCACCAGCCGGTGTCTTTGATGTTGTGATCCCTCCTTGCCACCGTTCCGTTTCTCCCAAGCGCCGCCCTTCTTAAGAGCCAGCCCACCAGATCCTCTTGCCCTTCTGTCATCTTATCCATCAACTGCTGCGCAACTCTTCCTCCAAGACCCACTCAACCACCATAGCCATGTCGTCACCGCCGGACTCCGCCATCTACATCCCTGACATGCAGTCGCTGCCCTCGCGAGTGCGGACGATCTGCTGCATCGGAGCCGGCTACGTTGGGGGCCCAACGTGCTCGGTCATTGCCCTAAAGTGCCCACACATCAAGGTCATTATCGTCGACGTCAACCCGCTCCGCATCGATGCCTGGAACTCCGAAAAGCTGCCAGTCTTTGAGCCGGGCCTTGACGACGTCGTTCGCCGGTGCCGCGGCCGCAATCTCTTCTTCAGCACCGACATTGACGCCGGCATCCGCGAGGCCGACCTGATCTTTGTCAGCGTCAACACCCCCACGAAGACGAGCGGCGTGGGCAAGGGCTTCGCGGCCGACCTTCACTACGTCGAGGCGTGCACGCGCCGCATCGCGTCGGTAGCAACCTCGTCCAAGATCATCGTGGAGAAGTCGACGGTGCCGTGTCGCACCGCGGCTTCGATGCGCACCATTCTCGAGTCCAACACATCAGAGACCGAGGACGGCAAGCAGATCACTTTCCAGATCCTCTCCAACCCCGAGTTTTTGGCCGAGGGGACGGCGATCCGGGACCTGTACAACCCCGATCGGGTCTTGATCGGAAGCCTCGACACGAGGGAGGGCAAGATGGCCGCTCACGCGCTCAGGGAGGTCTATGAAAATTGGGTCGACGGTAGCAAGATCTACGAGACGGGGCTGTGGTCCAGCGAGTTGAGCAAGCTGGTGAGTCCGATTCTGCCCGAGGAAGCCTGATCGGGAGCCACTGGAAGCTGATCCTCGTCCCTCCGTCACCCTCGACAGGCCGCCAATGCGCTGCTTGCCCAGCGGATCTCGTCCATCAACTCGCTGTCGGCCATCTGCGAGGCCACGGGTGCCGACGTGTCCGAGGTCGCGCACGCCTGCGGACTAGATGCACGCATCGGCCCCAAGTTCCTCAAGGCTTCGATTGGGTTCGGCGGTTCCTGCTTCCAAAAGGACATCCTCAACCTCGTCTACCTTTCCGAGTCCCTGGGCCTGACCGAGGTGGCGGCCTACTGGCACCAGGTCATCCTGATGAACGAGTACCAGAAGTCGCGCTTCGCCCGCAAGGTCGTCCAGACGCTCTTCAACACCATCACGATGAAAAAGGTCGCGGTCCTCGGCTTCGCATTCAAGAAGGACACGGGCGACACTCGCGAGGCGCCGGCCATCACGCTCTGCAAGTCGTTCCGCCAGGAAAAGGCTTTCATCTCGATCTACGACCCAAAGGTCCCGCGGGAGCAGATCCTGCTCGACCTGACGGAGCCGGGCGTCGTCGACGACTTTGAGGCAGTGCGTGCCCAGGTCACCATCGCCCCGTCGCCCGAGGAAGCGTGCAGAGACGCCGAGGCGGTGGTGATTTGCACCGAGTGGGACGAATTCGCCCAGAAGGCCGAGGACGAGTGGAGGGGCATCTACGCCACGATGAAGAAGCCGGCCTTCGTCTTCGACGGTCGGGGCGTCGTCGACGCGCAGACGCTGAGGAAGATCGGTTTCCGCGTCCACACCGTGGGCAAAGGTCCGCAGATCATCGACCCCATCTGGGCATGACGAGTGAAGCCGCGCGTCTGGCACCCCGGCGGCATCAGCGCGCAGGATGTCCGTACTGGTCCCGCAGCAGCAACCCCACTTATACCCTCCCGATCCGAGCTGTAGACCACTCAGTGCCTTGAAGCGACCAGATGACGGATACCGCCGTGGCAATTGCATGGCCGCGTACCTCGAGGCTTGCTACTGTGACGGCCCGCGAGGGTCACGAACGGCTCGCGTTGGTTTGGGACAGGGTCATCGGATGGCTCGCGGACGAGGCGCTGCGGCGGACCGGCGGCGATGCCGTAGGGGATCAATGCATCGTTTGGAAAATTATGGCCTACAACAGGCCAGCCTGAAAGACGAGCCAAAAGGGAATCGCGATGATGCAGACGGCGCCCAGATCCTTCAGCCAACTACCGCCCGCGGTCCCGTTCGCACCGCTAGGGACCGCGCCAAGCAATCCTTCTTCGGCGTCATCGTGGCTATCCCTACGCTTGGCTTTGCGCTGCGCCGACCGTCTCATCATGTCCGCCTCCTTGTGGCCAACCATCGAGGAGGAGGTAGGCAGAAGATCGTGCAGCCGGCCCCGACCGGAGAAATTGCGCAGGGCAAAGAGGACGCCCAAACTGAGCAGAAACGCTGGAACGTAGACTTGGGTCCAGATGCCGATCTGATCGGGCATGAGGCAGGGTCTGTATGCCGCGCTAAGGCCCTCGCCGGAGTGTGGAGTAAAGAGGCTGAGCCGAGCAAAACCCGGCAGCCTAACGCCTTCAGTCATAGAGAGGGACTTGACGGTCAGCTCCGGGATCTCGCCGGGCTCGAAGCCCTGGACCGGCCCTTGTCGCAGACGCTCCGAGACGCGCCGATGCGTGGCCTCGCAATGGTCGTGATCGTCCCCGCTGAAGACGGCGACTGGGTCGATCTGGGCCAAGAGCCAATGCGATATCTCTGGTCCCAGCAGGTTCTGGTAGGTCGAAGCTCGATCAGTGTCCTGGTGGAGTGGCCGCGGGGCTTCGCGCAAGACGCGATGACGCGTTGAGCCAACGGGATGGTTGCAGCGCGAAGCGTCGGGCCGATGGAGCGGGACGTGGCTGAACAGGATGCGGGCGGGCGATGTCGACTCATTGGCGATACGCTCGATAAAGTCAAAGGTGTCGGGAAAGGCCGTCCGTGCCTCGTCGAGCAGAGGGCCATCGAGCTGCCCCTGATGGGCCGGTGGCGTACGGGTATCGTAAGGCCCGCCACCTGCCCTCTGCATGCCGACGAGGGCCTCGGCGTCGACGAGAACCAGCTCGTGAGTTGTTCTGCCTGCATCAGCGCCAGAGGTCGAGGGCAGCGACACACCGATGCGGGCGTTGAGGGTGCGTCGAGTCGATGCGGCTGCACCTCGGACGGCGTGGCCTGCAGCGTCGGAATCGATGCCGTACCGCTCAATGAACCGACTGCGGGAGCTGGAGCTGGCCAGATTCGTGTCGAGCTGACCGGGCGCTTTCGGCAGGCCGATGTCGTGATTGCCGGCCATGTAGAAGACCGGCAGCGCGTCCCTCGCCGCCTGACGTCGGGTGAGCACCAGGCGCTCGCCGTCGACACTCGAGGCCGTGTCCACGGGTTCCAGACGGGGCAACGCAAACATGGAGTCGAAACGGTCGTGGAGACGACCCCACCTGTCGACGTCGTTCCCGTTCCCCGCGGTTCAGCAATCAACGCGGTCTGACTGCTGCTCAAGGGGTCTAGCGCACCGCACTCACTGTTGGCGATCCATTTCCCGTCGGCCACCGTCGGTTAGGTCGCCCATCCAGACAACGGCATCCGGAAGCCGAGGTCTCGACGTCCGCCTCGACCGCGGGGTTACTGGCGAGGCAGGCCGCTCGTCCTTGGCCCAACGGGACGGATCGAGGATCAAGCTGCGCCAGGCGTTTCTGAGATAGCGGTCTGAAAAGTGGCGGACAATCGGGAAGAGGACGCGAGGCAAGGGGAGGTCCGGGTAGGTGAAGGCGTCGATGATCTGGGGATCGGTGACGACGAGAATGTCAAAGCTGCCGGTGGCGCTGGCTTCCGCCTCGATCCGGGGCCACGGGCAATGGGTGGTGGCGGCTTGGTCGAAGACGACGCGCTCGTAGTAGAAGACGAGGAGCACCCACGCTGCCCGCATGCACTGGACATGCAAGGCGGGCGAGAGCAGGCGCCGCCACCGCGACGGTGACCGCGCGGTGCCGTCGCGGACCGTCATTGTTGCCGGGACTGCGTATGTCGTTGCCCGGCCTTGTGCGGAAGCTAAGCGTGTGGGGCGTTGGAGACAAAGCAGCAAGCAAGCAAGGTGATGGGCGGTGGGTGGGTGGGTGCACGGTCGCCGTCCTGCTTTTGTCTGCAGGGCCTACATACATACGTACGTCAGGCTAGGTCTGACCAGGCGGGCCCGAGGCGGTGTCAGGACTTGGCGTGGCCAGGCGACCCACAAAATTCCTCGGCCTGCATCACTCCACAAGGCGCCGTCCATCCAGCCACTCTACTAGCTACCCTGCTCACGTACGTCTACCTCGTCCGCTTGCCACCCACCAACCCTCCTGCCAACCTCTAGACCATCGTACTACCTTGGAGCATGGAGAGATACGTGGTCAAGCGGGCTCTGACGCAGGCCCATCGGCAGCCGCTCGTGCCTGCTTCGCAGCAGTCGCAGCGGCAGGCACGGCCCGCACCCGCAGCCCCATCCGCAGTGCTCCAGCCATCGTCATTGGCATCCACCACTCTGTCGACGGCCACCCTCGGCACCGGTCCGTCCCGTAGTGCGCCAGCCTCGGGCCCTTTGCGATGCCCCTCGTATAGCAGCGCGCGCTGTGCTCCAAGCGTGGTGCCGTCGGCTCCTGGCCGCGACCCTCGCCTCGGCCTCGATCGGCGGCCGTGGCACACGGTGCACCTCAGCGTCGGGTCCAGCCGCACGCTGACCACATCGACGAATCGCAGCTCAAAGGCTCCCTTCCAGTTCCTCACATCCTACGCCTTTGCCGGAAAGCCTCGGCACCCCGAGGACGACCTACAGCAGCAGCAGCAGCAGCAGCAGCAGCAGCAGCAGCAGCAGCAGCAGCAGCAGCAGCAGCAGCAGCAGCAGCAGCAGCAGCAACGAGGCGGCGGCTCCAACTCGCAAGACGGCTCATCGCCCGCACCCTCGCCAAAGGAGGCGGCCAAGATCGGCTTTCCGGCGGATAGCGACGTGGGGAGGTGGCGCGATGCCCTGCTCAAGGGCGGCGATGCGGGCGAGGATGCTCTGCTGTGCACCGACATGGGTGCGGCGGGCGACAAGGCCATCGGCGTCGCAGACGGCGTCGGAGGCTGGACAGAGAGCGGCATCGACCCGTCGCTCTTCTCGCAGTCGCTCATGTACTACGCATCCAAAAAGGCCGAGCTGTCGAGCGCAGATCCCGAAACGGCGCTCGGTGGCGCTGGCGTGGCACCCAAGGCCATCCTGTCCGAGGCATTCGACAAGGTGCTCGACGAGCCCCTGGTGGTGGCCGGCAGCGCGACGGCCTGCCTCGTGACGCTCGACGCCGCCTCGGGCATCCTGCGCAGCGCCAACCTCGGAGACTCGGGCTTCATCGTGCTGCGGCAGGGCAAGGGCAAGCAAGGGCTCCTCTACGCCAGCCCCCCGCAGCAGCTCGGCTTCAATACGCCGCTCCAGCTCGCCAAGCTCCCCATCGAGATGCGGCAAGAGGGAAGCATCTCGAACCTGCCAAAGGACGCCGCCACGTGGGAGTGCAAGCTGCAGCACGGCGACCTCGTCATCGTCGGCACCGACGGCCTCTTTGACAACGTCGACGCCCGCGTCGAGATCCCGCAGTTTGCCAGGTTCATCAAGGAACGGCATCACGCAAAATACGTCGCAAGGCAGCCCGATGGGTCGGCCAAGAAAGACAGCCTCGAAGAGGACCAGGAGTTTGTCGAGGTGCTGGCCACCAACCTGGTCGAGTACGCGAGGATCTGCCAGAACTCGCAGACCAAGCAGAGCCCCTTTGAACGCGAGGCGGCGCGGTACGGCATCCACTTTCCAGGCGGCAAGGTCGACGACGTCGCCCTCGTCTGCTGCCTCGTCATCGAAGGCTGAACCGTGCAATGCCCAGCGACGCGACAGCTCGAGCAGCCAAGCTTTGTCCCACGTCGTCAGACGGCAAGGCGGTAGAATACAATGTCCAGGCTGCCTTGGCGGCGCCATCCGGCTGTCTGATCAGAGTTTGGTCTGGTCGAAGCCTGCCCACCTCCTCACCAACATGGGCGGACTACAGGCCGGCGGCGGCGGCGGCCCCGGATGCGACGGCGTGGGCGCGGCCTCGCTTGCGGAGCCTCGAGGCGCGCTCCCCGCAGACGCCGCCTCGGCCTGGTTCTGGCCGACGTAGGCGGGCGGAGAAAAGAGGGCCACCCGCTGCTGCGTCATGAGGATCTGATGGATCTGCATCCGGACGGCGTGCACGACGTGGCGCAGGCTCGCCGTCTCTTCTGTCGCGCGCGCCGCCTCGAAGCTGGCGCTCACCGCGGTCAGATGCGAATCCTCGTACCGCCTCTCGAGGGAAGTCAGGGCGTCAAAGAGCGCGCCAATGCTGTCCTGCAACGAGGCCAGCAGGCCAGACAACGTGGTCTCGGCCAGCGGGGGCGTCGTCGGCGGATGGCGCGACGATGCAGGGTGCCGGGGCATGGTGTCCGGCGGCGACAAAAGGGACGGCGGCGGGATGTCGATGTTGGTCGAAGATGGCGCCGAGCGGGACGTCGGCGGCGGCGAATAGACGGGTGTCGTGCGGTGGTCAGTGGCCGGTGCAGTCGTCCGGCCGCTGCCGGTGCCGGCGAACATGGGCGAGGGCCAACGCAAGGTCGCAGCAGATTCCGTCGTCGATCGACGATCCTCGAGCGTCGGGACCGGCTGATCTGGCGCGGAAGTCGCCGACGAGCCATGTTGCGGCGGCCTTGGTCCAGCCCCGTGTCCGCCGCCGTCGAGGTCAAAGCGATGAAGACCTTGCAATGTCAGAGCGGGTGCAACGTCGCCATGGTCGGATGCCTGCTCGGCGGGCCGGTACCAGCTGCCCAGGCTGTGGACGCAGTCGTCGACCCTCCGATCGCAGGACCGCTGCCTCCCTTCGACCTCTTGCAGCCTCTGCCGCAGCGAGTCGTTTTCTCGCCGCAGCTCCGACGTCTGCCGCGCAAAGATGGTGAAAAAGGCCTTGAGCGGTTCGTAGCGGCAGGAGGTGAGGTGGTAGATCGAAGCGTCGGCGGTCGTTTCCGCCTCGGCCTCGAGCTGCCAGCGCGGACCTCGCCAGTCGCACCCGAATTGTGCGTGCCGACAAGGCACGGGAAGCTCCGGGCACTCGTCGAGGTGCAGCGGCAACCTGCTCCGCGTCGACTCCGTCCCGCAGTGCCAGCACGACGCCGGCTCGGGCGAGCACGTTTGGCAGTGCCGCTGTGCGGTCGCAGTAAAGCCGCAGAAGATGGGGTTTTCGTCGAGGAGAAGGGCCGCACGGGTCAGCCAATCGGCCGTCGTACAACGGGCATCGCGGCCCTCGCCGCGACATGCACTCACCTCGAGCTCGTCGGCAGGGACCTGCTCGCGACACGTCTCGCAGTCGACCTTTCTCTTTGGACAGACGAGCGCGTGCCGCTGCCAGTCCTTGCGCATGACCTTGGCCCGGCAGCCGCACCGCTTGCCCTGGTGGAGATCCGCATCGACGTACTCGTACTCGCACTCGCGCGCCACGTGCCCGCGCACCAGGTGCCGCTCGCAGGTGTGTCCGCAGCCCTTGGCGCGGTTCGGACAGCGGACGAGGAGCGTGTCGACCATGTTCTTGATCAGCAGCGCCGTCGGCCGAAAGTCGTCCAGCCCGACCTCGGTGCGGCACGATGGGCACCTCGTCGCACGCGACCGCGACGGCGCACCCTCGTCTTGCTCGCCATCGGGCCCCGCCTCAGCCAGGGCAGTGGTGATGCACAGCTTGCAGAATGTGTGCGAGCACCGCACCGACCCGACCGGCTCGTAGAACGGACCGAGGCAGATGGGGCAGTGCAGAAACGCGCTGATCTCGTCGTTGCCCTGAACATAGTCATACGCATCGCCAGAGTCCCAGTCGACCTTGGCACTGCCGCTGCTGACGTTGCTCGAGTCCGATCGCGTGCTCTGCGCTGAAAGGGCGCGCACCAGACCAGAACGCCGCCGCCCCGCAGAGGACGACGACGACGAGGCGCTGCGTCGCCGTCGTGGGGCCGTGCTCGGACCAGCTTCAGAGGCGTGCTCCGACATCCTGCGGGCAGAGTCGGTGGATGGAGGCGGAGGCGTCCCGGGAAGGCTTGCTGCTGCAAGCGGGCGAGTGTGGAGAGGGCGGAGAGGGTGAAGAGGGTGGGAGAGGGTGCGGAGGGTGGAGAGAGTGGGAGAGATGAAGGTTGCTAGTGGTGGTGGAGAGAAGGAAGCGGAACTCGGCTGAAAGCTCGGCCCGGTGGGAGCGGGGCATGCTGCAATAGCAAGCTTTTGTAATGGCGTTTTATATTTGCAATTTTCAACGGGCGTGTTCTCCCCGGGGGGGCTAGCTTTGGCTGACTCGCACGGCACTTCACCAGAAAAGTGGAGGCCCTTGGCCCGGCAGCCGGCGCGCGGGGGTCGAATGTGGCATTCGACGAGCGGAGTCCATCCAGGTCGAACGCCACATTCGACGTCGGGCTCATCGTGTCAAAGCTGCTATTCGACGTGCCCTCATCCTCGCTCGCGGCTTCCAGAGCTCCATCACAGAAAGTCGATTGTACAGACGAAAAGCTAGCTCGTCCTGTCAGAGGATTCTCCAGCGATTTTCTGCGACCCTGTGTGCCTGCGCCTCAGTCCTTGGGCTTCAGAGCGAGAGTCGAGTCAGTCTTGAGCATTTCGAGTTCCGTCAGGGGGGAAGACCCTGCAGACTCACCCTTTCGTTCTGGAAGAGCACCTCGATGAGGAACTTGAGCATGATGTTACGAGCCCCATTGGCATCTCGGTCGGCGTTGAGGCCGCAGGGGCAACGACGGAATTTTGAGCCCCCTATCTTCTTGAGCTCGCCACACTGGGAGCAGGCTTGCGTCGTGTAACTCTCGTCGGCGATAACGACTCGGATGCCTGAGGCGCGTGCCTGCTCCAGAAGGTGCTGCCTGAAGCGCCCGTGGCCCCAGGTCAGCAGTGAGCGGACGGTCGACCTGCTGATCCTGCGCTTCGCTCGTGCACTCATCCTGGTGGAGTTAAAGGGCGGGAGCTGGACGATGTTGAAGTTGCTCACGAGCCAGCTTGCCAGCTTCCGGTGGACCTCGGAGACCAGATTCTTGACACGGTCACGCGCGCGGTGAATCGCCTTGACCATCCTGATCCAGCGCTTCTTGTCAAGGTGCTTGAGTCGCCTGACCATGCGATCGATGTGCCTCGAGAGACGCCAGACCCTGGCAAAGTCACCAGCGCCAACCTCGACAACTCGCTGTCCGTGCGGATCGTACACTGTGGCGAAGGTTCGGACTCCGGGATCGATCGAACAGATCTTGTCGTCCTTGTTGAGGCGCGGAAGCTCGAGCGGATGGCGGTCAGAGATCACGTTGATGTAGAACTTCTCGTTTCGCTCGATGATTGTTGTGTCGTGCGGAAGCTTGAGCCCTCGAAGCCCCTTGATCTCTCCGTCAAAGTAGGTGGTGTAGAATGTGCCCTTCTCACTGTTCACGCGCTCCTTCTGTACGTGGATTGTACCGTACCCACGAACGAGCTCTCGGAGCGCAACCTTGAAGGGCTTGCAAGTCTTGATCCCGTTCTCGAAGGCTTTGATAGCTTGGTGGACCGCGAACTTCCTCGTGCAGGCCGGCGCATCTTTGAGGAGCCCCCTGCATTCGTCCGACACGGTCGCAGCGTTGACGAAGCGTCCCTGCAGCATCGGGTTGAACTCGGCGAAGAGTGCTCCCGGACGCTTCTTGTACCAGTCCTCGCTGAATCGCTCTTGGAGGAAGGTCACGGCGAGATTGTAGGTACGGTTGATTGCGATGATCGCGAGGCGCAGCTTGTACTCCTGGTAGGGTGTCGGAAAGATGCGGCGGCGGTGGCCTTTGTAATTTGAGCGCTTGAGGGGCTGCGCAGCGGCTGCTTCGATGGCTTTGATGACGACGTCTGGCAACGAGAAGGCCTTCTTGGGTGCTGCAAGGCGCATCTGCGTAGCTTGGTACCATGTCCTCTTCTTTCCGCTCTTCGGATCAACGTTCGAGAGATGGCGGCGCCTTGGACGAGGGGGTGCGGTCTCTGGCTTGTAGGGGAGGTGTGCAGTCCCGTGGACGCTTGGAAGGAAAGCGTCGAGGCGGCCGACAAACTTTGTCCACCAGGGGTCTCGCTTTGGCTCCTCATTGCTGCCCTCAGTGGCCTTGGTCTTGGCACTGCTCGGCTCGGATGTGTTGGGTGGCGATGCGATCGGCGGATCCTGCTGTGCTGAAGTTGGCGCGCCGCCGACAACGTCGCGAGCCTCGCCTGCGCTTGCGCTGGCCGATGCAATGGGGGTCCTGACCGTCGACGTGGTGGGTCGAGCCTCCGAGACGCCTGCCTGCGGCCTTGGAAGCAGTGTCGAGCTTGGTGATGCGGCCTGCTGTGCTGTGACCCCGCTATTTGCGCGACAGGATCTCGGTACGATGAGGGATTTTGTGACGGTGGATGTCGAGCGTCGAGCCTCAGGGACGCCTGCCTGTGGCCTCGGGAGGGGCGTCGAGTTTGGCGACACGGGCTGCAGTGGCGTGCGGCTGATGTCGGCACGAGTGGATGCCTGCGGTCCGCCCGGGCGAAGCTGCGGCTTGGCCGGCAGCGTCGACACGGACGACGCCTTAGCCGCCTCGGATGTCTGCGCGGCCGTTGATCCGCCATCGCGGGGGATGCGTCGAGCATCTGGCTGTGGCAGTGAGGACTGTGCCGACGTTCCGAACGCCAACTGACCTGCCGCCACGGCGGCAGCGCCGCCGGGAGCGGTCTGCGCATGCATGTGGCAGCGCGTCTGGGGCTTTGAAGGGAGGGACGACGGCAGCGGCGCCGGCGGCCTCTTTGCCAGAGTGTCACCGTCGATGGGGCCTGCACGTCGAGCCGCCGAGATGCTCGACTGGGGCCTCGGTGGCAGCGACGCGAGTGCCGGTGAGGGCTGTCTGATTTCTGGCGCGCCGGGATCGGTCCGTGAGATGCTGCTGGCCTGCGATGCGCTCGACGTAGGCCTTGTCGATGTCGTCGGAGCAGCTCCTGTCGGCTTGGCAACGCTGCGAAAGTCGGCAAGGGGCATAGGCTCTTCGGGCATGACGGGAGAGCGAGGACGGTCACGGCCCTCTCCGGGCACGATGAGGGTGCGCTGGCGCCGAGGTGCTGGGCCGGGCGAGGTGTCGCGCTTGCGCTTGCCCGCATGGACAAAGCGCTGCGAAAGGTCGGCTTTGGGCCTGTAGTGGGTCATGCTTGGCGATGCAGGAGCGCTATGGACGGGTGAGAGACAGAGAGACGATGCCGGGCTACATGGACGTCCGATGCAAAGGCCAGCTCCGAGGTCGAGAGTGAGTCTGGCTGCAAGCGTGGCGAGCGGTGCGTGCCCCGGGCGAGGCTGGGCGAGGCGGCGCCGGGCAGGGCTGCGCAAGCCTGACTGCGCGTTCAAGGGCGGGCCAGGCCAAGCGCGGGGCCGAGCTCGGCGGCCAGCCTGCAAGCCAGGCTCACCGAATCAAGCCAGCCTCGCCCTCCAGAGGTGGAAAAGATGGACCGCACCGTCCAGAGACGTCGCAGGTGCGGTGGCCTCCTTCGACGAGGGCCACGCCACCTACTGCGGCGCTCTTTTTTTTTCCGTGCGCCGTCCCCGGCGTGCACAAACTTCGCAGCCCAGCCTAGCTGGCCAACCAGCCTGCCTGCGTCGAGCTCGGACGGTCCATCGGGCACATGGCCAGAGGCGAGCTCTTCTAGGCAAGGCAGGGAGCTGACTTGCTCGGTGGGACCAGACCGATTTTTCGCGAATTTGCGTGCGTCCACGCTAGCCTGCCCGCCCTCGGTCGGCCTGCCTGTATGCCTGCACGCACGCCTGTGCTCGAGTGCCTGCTGGCTTGCTCGCCCTCTCCCGCAGGCGGCCCGCCTGTCTGCTCCGCTGGGTGGCACGGCCGTCGCCCGACCAGCAAAGGTATATATACCGCTCCTTCTGTCCCCCGGCCCCTCTCCTCTCTTCCTCCACCGATCCCTTCGCCCTCAAGCCGGTCGACCACCTCCTCATCCTCAAGCCGGTCGACCACCTCCTCCTCTCCGAGCGGCCGACCCCTTCTCTTCCCCAGGCCGGCCGACCCCGTTCCAAGCCGGTCGACATCCCCGTCCAACGGGCATTTGTCCTCCTGCTCCTGGCTTCGATTCCTGCTGCGCCGCGCACTATGGTACGTCCTCACCCTTGACACTCGTCTGCAACTGCCTCGGCTGCTCGCGCCACGGCCGCTCTGACCATCAACGACGCTCCTATCACGACCCTCCTCTTTGCCACCGACGCAGTGACGCCTCCCCACTCTGCCCATCCGAGAGGGCCCGTCCTATGCGTCTACTGGCCAGCAATGCTCCACGGCCACGGCACTCCACAAGTTCATGACTGTCCCTGTGTCGGTCCAAGTCTTCCTCGCCATGCCCTTCTGACCCCATCCCCACTCTGCCGAGGTGAGTCTCGGTCTCGGTCCGACGCCCTGGCTCTCGCGACTTTTCCGCTTGCTGACCTCGACAACTCTTCCCCCGGTCTGCAGCCTATTGGCCCCACGAGGCCAAGCAGGCGATTCAGTTCGCCTCACCCCACAGAAGTCGGTGGAAACGGCCTTCGGGCCTGTACCGCTGTCGTTCCTTTTGGCGATTGCGCCCACGATCCTGAAGCGGGAGCAGTCCCCCTGTTGACCAGAGTGGTCTGGCGGCAGGGATAGACACTCCTAAACGCAATCAGCTAGCTCAGGCAACCCCTGCCCTCCGAATGGAGGCGCTCCTCTCTACGCCTGCCTCTCTCATTCATGGCTCCCTCTTGCTCACCGCCTCTCTAGCCTTCCCCTTTCCCCTTTCCCCTTTCCCCTTTCCCCTTTCCCCTTTCCCCTTTCCCCTTTCCCCTTTCCGCTTTTCCGCTTTTCCGCGTCTCTTTTGTACCCGAGCTCCCGGCCCTATCGTCCGCGTCCAACTCATCCAGCTCGACATTTCATGTGTGAGCCTCTGCAACGTCTGCCTGTCTACCCTGGCGCTTTGCAGATGCGTCGAAGTGTGAGCATCTTGCAGATTAATTGATGACACTCTCGGCAGGGATGCAGCCAGCTTCTCAGGTCTTGTAGATCAATGGCGTCCCATTTTACTCGAGAGATCGGCTTTGCTGCCTGGTGTATTGTCTTGTCTGTCTGGCCTCGGCATCGGCCTCAAAGGCTCACACATTCACAGCTGAGAGGCTGGTGTCTGTAGGCGTGCCAGTCTTGTATGTTTGTCAACACCGGAGCCTCGATTCTGCTGCACTCATGACGGTGGGACCTTCTGCTGATCAGACGGATGAACGAGGCCAAATTGACAATCGCGGAATGGGACCCGAACTGCAGAGGCGTACTTCTCCTTCGACAGCGTCGCATACGCAGGGCGGTTGGCGCCCGATTCGCATCGGACGACGGAAACCGATGGTCACGCAGGGAAGCATGGACCGCAAACTTGCGCAACGCCGTTCACGTCTTCAAGCACGCGTACCGAGAACAAAGCTCGAAGATGGCCTGTTTAGAGAAAATGTAAAAGGAAAAAAAGGATTGGAAGTTCAGGGGATTGAACCCTGGGCCTCTGCCTGAGAAGGAAGGTTAAGTTCCCTGAGTCGCATGATACATGTATGCGAAAGCAGCGCTCTCCCACTGAGCTAAACTCCCCGCCAAATTCGCGGCAATTGAAATGGGCGAATATAATTACAATTACAATCATAAAGTCAATCGTATGCTGTACGTTCCGCAGAATGTCCAGCCTCTCGGCCGGCCGATGCCGCCGCGCCTGTGCGCCGCCTCGGACATGACCGATGCGGGGGCGGGGGCGGCGGGGAATCGCCCGGGCCCTCTCTCCTCGATTGGATCCTTCTCATTACGCCGCCTCGACACGACCCGACCACGCCCACCTCCATCGACACTCACTTTGCCTCACTTCCCTGCTCGCCATGACGCCTTCCGCCTCGCTCCGGGGCCACTGTGCCTGCGGTGCGCTGCGTTACACGCTGGACGCCTCTCCGTCGAACCTGCTGTTGTCGGCGTACTGCCACTGCACGCGATGCCAGCGCCTCAACGGGGCGCCGTTTGTGTGGACGACGCACTGGAAAAAGGACGCCGTCGCCTGGTCGTCGTCGGGCGGCGAGGCTCCGCTCCGCTCGACGGTGCAGCAACAGCTCGGCGACGTCGACGGCCTGGAGCTGTACGAGAGCCTGCCCGGCCGAAAGTTCAAGATCAGGTGCGCCCGCTGCGGCACGCCCATGGGCAGCTGGAGCGAGGCCGGAGAGCGGTGAGTGTGCCGGGGTCGGTTCGCGTCTGCTGAGCCGCTGCGGACCCTACGACCGCCGGGACCCACGAGGCCGCCCCTCGCTGACCCCCGCTCGACACTCCCTGCGCAACTGGACAGTTTCTCGATCTGGCCCTCGACGCTGGAGCGGCCCGAGGGCGACAAGGCGGCGCTGGCCCACACGGACACGTTCCGCCCGCAGGGTCACATCTTCTACGGCCCGTGGCGGGTCATGGACATTGCCGACGACCTGCCCAAGTACGATGGGTACCTCGGCCAGTCGCAGCGCGTCGACCGCTCAGGCCGGCCGCTGCCGGCGGGCTTTGACGGCGGCGGCGCCTTCAACCCGCACGATCCGCGCGACCTGGTGGGCTATGCCGCCCATCCGCCGCACCCGCGCTGGCCCGACGACGCGCGCATCGCATTGTCCTTTGTCGTCAACTACGAGGAAGGCGGCGAGAACACGACGCTCAACGGCGACGAGTTTTCCGAGCTGTACCTGACCGAGTACGGCGCGGCCAACGGCAAGATGCCGCCGTCGTACGTGCGCAACCTATCGGTCGAGAGCTCGTACGAGTACGGCAGCCATCGCGGCTTCTGGCGCATCCTCGACCTGTTCAAGCGCAAGGGATGGAAGTTTACCAGCTGGTCGGTCGGACGCGCCGTCGAGCAGAACCCGGCCGTGGTCCGGGCGATGGAGGAGGCGGGCTGCGAGGTGGCCTCGCACTCCTACCGCTGGTTCGATCACTCGACGATGGCACCCGAAGAGGAACGGGTGCAGATCCAAAAGGCCATCGCGGCCATCAAGAACGCCTCGACCAAGTCTCGCGAGCCCCGCGGTTGGTACACGGGCCGCCAGTCGGTCAACACGCGCCGCCTCGTGTACCAGGTGTACAAGGAGCTCGGCCTGCACGGCGAGCTCTATGACTCCGACGCCTACGACGACGACCTGCCCTACTGGGTCCCCGCGCCGGACGGCACCGAGGGCGAGTACCTGCTGGTGGTGCCCTACACGCTCGACAGCAACGACATGAAGTTTGCCAACACGCCCGGCTTTATCAACTCGGACACGTTTTCCGCCTACCTCATCGACGCGTTCGAGACGCTGGTGGCCGAGACGTACCTCGGGGCCGAGAATCCGATGAGCGTGCCCAAGATGATGACCGTCGGCCTCCACTGCCGCGTCGTCGGCAGGCCCGGCCGCTTCCCCGGCCTGCAGAGGTTCGTCGAGCACGTCGAAAGGAGGAATGCCGAGCTGCTCCAGGAGGGCGGCGGCAAGGGCGGCGTGTGGGTGGCCACCCGCGAAGAGATTGCCAACCACTGGAGGAAGACGCATCCGCCTCCCGCACCACGCGAGCAGTGAGGCGGCTCCGACATCGCCGAGTGCATTGCGACGGTGCCGCGTCGCACTACGTCTGCGCCAACGCAGGCGTCAAATCGTGTACCTAAAGTACGGGCTCTCCTCGCCGCGAAGCAGCACATCGATCCTCCTCCGGTCCCTTTCTTCGGCCCCTTTCTCGACCGTATCGGCGTGGGATGCTGCCGTGTCTGGCCCCTCCTTTTGAGCGGCGTCGAGAGCGCCCTGCTGCCTGTCCCTGCGTCGGTTGATGTTCCAGAGGTAGAGCGATGTAAGCGCGGCCACAATGGCGCCAAAAAGGAGCAGGCCCCCGCTGACGGAGGTGCCCTTGACGTAGTAGGGCTTGTCGCGCGCAGGGAACAGGCGCGTGCCAAGCAGCGGGCCGCACTGGCCGATTGTGCCAAAGACGACGAGACCGACGCCCTTTTTCTGCGGGCGCGGAGGAGGCAAACGATCCGTCCGTCAGCCTCGTCGGCCGGGCAGACTGCGCGGCGAGAAGAGGAACGGCGGTGCACTCACCGATTCGCCCGCCTGGTTGCTCATGAGCCACATGTAGAGTATCGGGATAAAGGGAAAGATGCCGCAGACAATCATCCAGACGGCGACGTACCGCGCCGCCGTCGAGGTCTGGGTCGCGAGCACGAGGTAGCCCACGGCGGCGAGGACGAGCAGGCCGGCGCCAAAGACGCCCCGGACCTGAGCCCGGTCGCTGATCCAGCAAAACAGGATGGCCAGGAGAAAGGCGAGGACGTAGGGAGGGGCCGAGAGGCCCTGCGCGTTGATGCTCGAGTAACCCATCTCCTCGATCAGCGTCGGCAGGTAGACGGGGACGCTCGAGTAGCAGACGTTGATGATGAAGAACATGACCGAGATGAGGTACGAGAGCGGATCGAGAAAGGCGGCGCCGGCGTTGCCCCAGTTGATGAAGTCGACGAAGCGTGCCTTGAGCGTCCACCGGCCACCGTCCTCGGTCTTGCTCCGGCGAGGAGGCGGCGGGGGCCGAAAGAGACGAGCCTCGGCGATCTCGCGCTCGCGCGCGGAGAGGAAGCGGCAGGATTGAACGTCGCGGGGCAGGACCACGAGCACGATGGGGACCATGAGAAGTGTGGGGATCCCCTCGATCAGGACTGGCAAAAGAGTGGCGCGCGGGCAAGGATTACGCGCCGGGAGCAGCAGATCAGCAGCGCGATCCGTTGCACACTTCCGATCCCGTACGTCACTCACAGAGCAGCCTCCAGCTCTCGATGGTGGCATGGGCGTGGACCAGGCCGTAGGCGATGGCACCCGCGACAGCCGAGGATACGGCGCCGGCGCTGACAAAGGTGCCAAAGCGCAGGCCGATCTCGTCGCGCGGGTAAAAGAAGCTAAAGTAGAGCGCCACGCCCGTGCCGTAGCCAGCCTCGGCGACACCGAGTATAAAGCGGCAGGCCATCAGGCCGGACCAGCTCTGGACCGCCGCCTGGCAGACGCCCGCAACGCCCCAGACAAAGACGCACCCGGCGATCCATTTCGGGGGCGAAAAGACCTTGTAGCCCAGCAGCAGGAACTGGAAGACGATGTAGGCGATGCTGCGCGGGGAAAAGGAAGCTTGTTGTTGTCAGAGGCGGTCGCCAAAGAGGTTTGGAGGGGGACGACGGGCGGGTGATGAGGGAAAAGGACAGATCGACTCACTAGAAGATCGTCAACAGCCACTGGTATTGTTGGTCAGAGATGCCGAGGTCCCTGTTCATGCCTGCCGTCTTGGCATTGCCAATGTTGCTGGCAAGGACGGATCCAAGGCCACGGGCGCGGTCAGCACACACCCGCAGCGAACGACAGCTGAACCGGGCGCTATCGAGACGATGATACTCACCCGCGATCCAGCAGCGCGACAAAGTAGAGTGCAAAGGAGCTGTATGCAGAATTGTCGACAAAGGAAGCCAGAGTCAGCCGTCGGCCCGAGCGCCGCGAGGCAGACAGAGACACGGTCGGCTGGGCTGCTTCAAGCCCGTCTCGCACTCACATGACAATGATGCGGACGTCGAGCTTGCGCCGCAGCCTGCGCTCCTCGTCGTCTGACCACCATTTTGTGAACTTGCCCATGATTGCCTTCTCGCCCATGGCTGCGCGAGAGACGTAGTCGAGGTCGCCGGGGGATCTCGACGACCGCGGCGCCGTCTCGTCGGACTTGAGCTTGTCGGTAACCATGTTTGCTGACTGGCGGCTCTGCGTTGCGGCGGGCTGAATCGAAATGGTGCACGCTCTTCGAGGTGACGAGGCCTGATGTGCGGCGCTGGATGGACAAAGTCGACGAGGGTACGGGCGATGATGGTGGGAAGAAGCACGCGAGAAACAGAGGGGAAGAGTAGGGAGAGACAAAGAGGGGGCGAGAGGCTGCTGTTTGGCCGGCAGATGGGCCACCCGCCGAGTCAGAGCATTGTGCCGCACATGTGCTACGGTATGTACATATATAGTCCTAGCACCATGTCGCATAAGGCTCTTCGGCACGCTGTCGGGCAGCTAGCGCAGAAGCTACGGCCATCCAGGGTCGCAGAGCGGTCGGGCGGCCATTTGCGCTTAGCCACGGCCAACGCATTGACCTGCTTGGGTTTCGCCTTCACGTACTTTCGGTTGGCCAGCCGGCGCTGTCCTATCACTGGGCAAAGGACCTCTGGGGCAAAGGACCTCGGCACACGCCGGACGCGAGAGAGGACTCCAGAAAGTCGGTATCGCGGGGTCGGACAGCGGCGGCGGCGATTTTGAACCTCGTTAGGCCTGCAGGGATCCCCGGCGACCTAAACTGGTCTGGCGCTTTTTCGCCGACCCCGCCCTGATGCACGGCGTGTACCGCCGGTCAAGAGTCCCCCGCAGCCGGCGGTGAGGCGGCGGCCGAGCTGCAGCAACGATACACCTTGCGTGCGCGCTCGCCAGCGTGCTCTCACCCCCTCTCTTCTCGAGAGTACTACTGCTCCGCGCCCGGCGTAACCGTCCCAATGCGCAACCGCCTGACCGCACCAACGACTGCGGTGGAATGGCTCGACCACCAGGTCAATGCCCAGGCAGCTGGTCAAAGCACAGTGTCGCGCCTGGCGGCGTTCCGTGCGGTGATCGAATGAGGCCATTGCAAGGTGACTCTCTACATATCTCTAGCGGTCCAGCAATCCGAGACCTTGTCGCTCGCGGCTCAGCAGACCTGGCTCCATTGCGAAGGAATGACGCCCCACTGCCTTCCGGTCACCTCGCGCAGCATCGTCCGCGTGAAGAGTCCCATGCCGTCGGGTCCGATCGGAATCTTGAGGTCGGTGCCCTCGTACCCGATCCTCTCGACCGAGCAGACGCAGGCGGCCGTGCCAGCTCCAAACACCTCGACCACCTCGTCCCTTTCGACGGCCTCGACGATCTCGTCCATGGTAATCTGTCGCTCGTTGACCTCGACCACCTCGCGCGCCGGCAGTCCGTCGAGGTCCACCTCTCCAGCGATGTAGGAGCGCAGCAGCGAGAGGATCGTGTCTCGCGTGACGCCGGGCAGAATGGTTCCATCCAGCGGCGCGGTCGCGATCTCGACTGCAGCAAGGTAGAGGCAGCGGGGGGGAAAGCGCAGGGCAGACTGGTCAGTCGTTTGTCATCTTCGAAAGTGGCCCGCCAAGAGCGCCGGCACCTACTCACCCTTCTCGCCCCGCCTCTTGACCATAAAAAAGTTCATGGCGCCGACCTCGGTGACCTGCTTCTCCGGGCCAAACAGCCACAGGACCTGCTGGTATCCACGCTTCTGCGCTTCGAGTGCCGGCATCACGGCGCCGACGTAGTTGGCCGCCAGCTTGTAGCAGCCCGTTCCACCAGGCCAAGCCCGCACGGCGTCGGTGGACGCGAGCAGCGAGACGGGCTTGGCGCCCGCCCCCGACGTATAGTAGTTGCCGACGGGCGAGCAGATACAGTAGAGCATCGCCTCGGTGGGGATGCCCATATCGAGCGCGTTGGGCGTGCCGATCAGCGTGGGTCGGAGGTAGAGCGTCTGGCCGGCGGCGTGAGGAACGTGGTCGCGGTCGAGACGGACCAGCGTCTTGATAAGCTTGACAAACTCTTCCCCGTCGAAGGTCTGAATAGTGCGAGGACCGGCGGAAGTGGGAAGTCAAAGAACGATCAGGATGAAAAGCGAGCGCAGCGTCCGTATCAGCGTGAAACGCCTGGGTAGAAAGCACGGCATCGACGGACAAGAGGCGAGAACATCGCCAGACTCACGGGCAGGCCGGCGCGGGCAGCGCTGCGGTTCATCCTCTCCATGTTCTTGTCGGGCCTGAAGAGGCGGATCTTTCCGCTACCGTCGGACGACCTGTAGGCCTTCATGCCCTCAAAAAGGCCCGAGGCGTAGTGGAGCGCAGGCGCGGCGGGGCTGATGGCCAGGGGGCCATATGGCTTGATTTGGGGAGCTCCCCATCCGTCCTGGTTGTTCCAGTTGATGACGAGCATGTGCGGGGTGAATTGGCGGCCAAAGGCGAGGTTCTCGAAGTTGGGTTCTGCGGGATGGGGGTTGCGCTCGATGGTGAGTAGCTCGGCGTTGAGATCCTTGAGGTGAGACGTTGTCGAGGGGCCAGCATTGAGCGTGGCCTCGTTGATGACGACCGAGGCAGCGGACATGGCCGCGTTGGTGGTGGGTGCAGGCATCGTCGACGAGCGGCGGCGGTCGTTGGACGAGATGACGAGGGCGGCCAGGAGGGATCAGAAGTTAAGCGGCGCCGTTGCGAGCCTTGATTAAGATTGGTACATATAGTGGCAAGAGGAGAAGCTACTCCGGGGGGAGGGGGGAAGGGGTGTTCACAGTGGTGACTCGTCGGGGCCGCCTCTTCGGCCTTTCGGTCGGCCCGTTCGGTCAGAAGGTCCACACGCGCAGCAGACCAGAGGCGGGCAGACGAGAGAAAAAGCAGATCCTTGAGAAGAAATTCAGCCCCCGGCTTTAGCGGTTCCCTGCTGCAGGGTCTGGCGGGCTGAGTGGCAAGCAAGCGCAATAAGAATCAAGAATCACAGGGCCGGTGCGGTACGGGGAGCTGGCACGGCCGGCAAAGCAACCCAGAGAGGCGGCGACGACTACGACGACCACGGCGCCCGCTCGACGGGTTCCAATGCCGCATCTGCTCTGATACAGCAGCATGCCTATCCCTCGCATACGGCCAGTCGAACGCGCGTGACCACCAGCTGCATCCTCCACGGTTGGGGCCGCTACAGCATGCGTGCGCGCTCAGGGGCGTACCCGTCCATTCCGCCCAGGACAAGGGGCCAAGCCAGGGAGCGCGGTTTGATGGCCTATTACGCGGCGGTGGCCCGATGGAGCGCGACGATGTCTCCTGTCCTCGACGTGCCGACTTTAAAAGGTAGCGAGGACAGAAGGTGCGGACTGCGTGCCCGCACTGTGAGCCACGTTGTGTCGAAGCACGCGGCCAGACCGTCTTGTCTCGCACACGGTGCCCTGTCGAGACCCGCGCTAGACCCGCTCACGACTCGTCGTCGATGGCTTTCCAGATCTCTTCGGTCTTCTTCCGCTTTTCCTTTGACTGCTGGATATGGTTCTTGGTCCTCTCGATGCGCTGTCAGAGATTCCGAGGGGGATACGGCTTATCAGTCCAGTGTACTATTGAGCCTGGGTCCTCAGGCCGACTCACCTCGGCCCTCAGGCAGAGATTGAGGTCCTCCTTGATGCCATTGCATCCTCCGGTAATCTTGGTCCACCAACCCCTTGCGTGGCAGTCCTCTAGCGCTCGGATCAGGTCAGCGCAGTCTGCAAGGGGGGCGATCCGGATGAGGAGACGACGACGACGACGACGGGGAGACGGCAATCCATGTCAGTGCCCGAGCTCGCAGCTTGATGCGGTAAAATCAGGAGGACCAGCGAGCGCCATGCAAGCAGCAGCGATGCAGACTACTCACGTTGCTGCTTGCTCTCGCCGACAAGATGCTGTGTTGTTCGACAGACGGGTGCAGCCGGGATGCAAAGTTCAGCGGTGGCCACTGTGTTTCCTCGTGGCTCGATCAGCGGGCTTACGGGATGCATGGTGGGCTCGCAGCGCCGGCTCCTTCGATAGCGGGGGGAAGGTTGCCTGTGCCGGACGGGCTACGAGTGCCGGGAAGCCACCTAGCAAGGGGTGGTCTTGAGGGTAAGAGGGATGATCTGCGAGACAGAGGAAAGAGGCTGTTGGAGATGGGAACGTTGTTGGAGGCGCCAAATGGAGAGAGAGAGAGGACAAAGCAAAAGTAAGCCACAGCCCTCCCCTCCACTTCGCAACCCGCCGCCAACAAGGCGCCAGACTGACGCTGCTGCCTCTTGCGACTTCACTCCTGAATACACCGTCAGTTACCACCGACGACTGGCCAGCTCACGCCCTTCGCTCCTTCGCCACCCGCGGCCCTCTGATCGAGGAGCCCATACCTTGACCTTGCTCTGCGCAAAGCCTTCCTTGCACTCGCCGATATGAGGAGACAGGCGGCCATCGCCCTCGCCCTTGGCTACGGAGCGGTGTGCTCTCACATCCACGCTCGCTTCCCCCACAACGTACAGACCGCCTTGCTCCTCGTCACCCTGCCGCTGACGAGCATCGTTGTGCTCCTGCTCTCCTTTCGTGCCATCTCAATCGACGACGCGGTCCACGCTCGCCTCACCCACAATTACACCGACTACCAGTCTGCGCTACGTGGCAGGGTCATTCTTAGCAACGACGGCTTCGCCACCTTGGTCCGCATGCTGCTCGGCCTCAATGTCATCACTTCGATCCCCATTTTCTGGAACCAGCTTTCGCAGTCGAGCCTCTCCAGCCGCATCTCGACACCGCTGGCCTACCTCTTTGGCATCGGCTCGGTCCTGGTGGCTGTCATGTGCATCCTTATGTCCCTCACGCAGCCGCTAATGAGCGTCAACTTCGACCGCGGCGACTCGAACGACAAGGGCGATGGGTTCCCACACGAGATCCCCGACGCCCTCGTACCCATCAAAGTGCTTTCTGCATACCTCATCCGGCACCCTGGCGTCGATGGTTGGCACAAGGTTGGCACCACTTCAAGGAGGCACGATGTTCACGCCCGCGTAGACTCTGCCACGCAAAGCTACGAGATCCGCACCGTTTGGTCGCAGGACCATCCTGCCATGGCCGGAAGACCGGCCCCAGGCGCTCCAGCCCTGTCTACATCGGCCGGTGTTGCCGGAAAGCTGGATCAGCTCTGAAGCCGTTGTAGGGCCAAGGCCAACAGGAGTAGCCGCCCGGCGCATCAAGGTGTCTTGGGCTTCAGCGGCTTATAGCCATCTGCCCTTTCGGCAAGCATGTCGGTCCTGGAGGCCATGATGAAGTCGTTTTTGTGCAGCTGTCGGGCCGGCGCAGGAGGCGAGGTAGAACATCGAGTGCTTAGCTCGCCATAGACAGGATCGCCCCACTGTAAGCGCCGTGCAAGCCGTCTCCTGGCTCCACTCACCCCCTTGATGCTGTGGCTCCACCACCAAACGCTGACTCGACCCCATTCAACCATGATGGCCGGGTGATGTCCCTCGGCCTCGGCCTCCTGCCCGAGCGCATTGACAAACGTTTGGGCCGTACTCCAGTCCTTGAACTTGAACGACTTCTTGAGCCCATCTGGATTCGGTTGCTTTGCCGACCTCAGCGTCTGAGGCTGGGGGGAAAGGTACCATCCGTCTAGAGCCTGCAACAAGCCCTCGACCTCATCAGCACCGAGAGGGACCGCCGAACGAGAGCATGGCTCGCACTTGGATGGGAGTGGATTGGATCCAGAGACACGACCTCCCGTGCTCGACATTGTCCTCGCCTGGAACGGAGATCGACAGCCCGAGGAATGAGGGCGCACCACCGACAGAGTTGAAGATGGTATGAATGTGCAGCCGCAGGTCCAAGCTTTCGAGATCGAGAAGTTGCGCAAGAGCCTTGTTGTTGACCCGCAAAGGCTGCGAGGGGCGATCATCTTCTAGCTCTGGGGCGAGGGTCGACGTGGCCAGCAAAGCAGAGAAACAAGCCCGCCCGCTTGTTGGGCGCGAAGTGCGGAGGCCGACAACCTTGCCTTGACCACGGTCGGACGCGGGCACAGCGCCGGTCGCACACGGACCGCTGGCGCTTCAATCGACTTCATCAAAAGTAAAATGCATTGACGGGGACTCGAACCCCGGTCGAGTCGAGTCGGTCGATCGTCTGATACCAAACGATGAGTGGCAACGACTCATGATGCCCCTACACTATCAATGCTTGCTGATGTAAGCTTGCAGAACCACTATTGGTATATGTTAATAGAGCCAGCCATGACGGTTGCTGTGCGATATATGACGAAGAAAAGGGATCCCTTTAGAGGCACCCCAAATTTTGTTACTGCCACCCCAATTTCAGATCTGAGTCCCAAACTCCGTGGAGGCAATCAGGATCTGCACAAGATGCAGTTAGATGCAGATCGTTGGCCTCAACCGGGCTCAACTCGTTGCCGCCCCACTTCCTGACCTCCCTGCCGGTACCTGTGCCCCACGTCTTGTTGCCAAACTACTTGAACAGCTTGCAGTTGCGCTGCACATGCTCACACGCTTTACGGTTCTTGTTGTTGGCGTTCATCAACTCCTTTGACACCATCCAGTGCTGCACATGGGCCAGCAGCTTGAAGTTGGAGTCTCTGGAGAAGGGGTTGACCACCCAGTTGGGTCAGGCGAATGTGTGTCGAGGTATGTGTGTAATGGTCGACCTGGCAAGTGCGCAGAGGAATGTCCGGGGGCAGAGAAGTCTCTGCACGTCGGAGGGCGATCACTTTGGTGCTCCTGTCAGAGGCGCAAGCGAGGTTTGGGAACAGCAAGTTGATACCAAGGGTGACTCATAGCTAGCAGCAGGGTCGGGCCCAATTTGGATCATAGCCAGGCTACGATCGAAAATTGGGCATCAAGCCCTGTGTATGATTTTTTGATGTGCAGCCTACCTACAATCTAGCTACAATCCAAAATCGTAGCCCCACCGCCCTGCCTGCTGCGTCCGCGCTGCGTCTGCGCCGTCAATCATCGGAATCCTTGGAGAGCGCCTCTCTGAGGATTTCGATGATTGACGGCTGCTCCCCTCCGCTTCCGCCCTGCCTGCCGCAGCAAGCAGCCAAGCTGCGGGCGGGCGGGCTGAATTGGCTGGCAGGCTCAGGCAAGCGCGCGGGTGGGATGGCTGGCTGGCACGGGCGGGCGAGCTGGCTGGCTGGCTCAGGGGCTGGCTGGCTGGCGCGGCTGACTAAGCTTGCGCGCGCGCAAAAAAAAGTGAAGGCCAGGCCACGCTGACGCAGGCCCAAAGCCAGGGCCACGCCGACCCTGACGCAATTTTCTGTCTCTCGGCCGATAGGCCTAATTTTTGCCTGCCAGCGGGTTGGGCAGCGGCTCGACTGAGCTTTTTGCCACCTGACCCTTACCCCCCTCCTCCTCCTCCCACTACCACCATCAAAGCTAGCTCAGCCCTGCTCCCAGCCTTCCGTCTGCATGCTTTTGCCTTTTCAACGCTGCCAGGCCGCATGGGTGCTCACGCAGGCTCGCAGGCTGGCGTGCGTGTGTGCTCATGCAGGTGACGTGGCCTGCCTGACCGCCCGCCCGCAAGCTGAGCCTTGCCTGCCAGCGTGGCCTCACCCGCCCGCCTGCCTTGGTATAAAGTCTTGCCCCGCTCCACCGTTGCTCCTTCCCTCCTGACCACTTCCATCGGCCTTTTGGCCTGCCGCTGCCACCCAACCGCCGTCAATGCCACCTGCCGGCATTGCCCCAGCCGCCTTGTCCCGCCTCGGTTGCGCTCAGTCCTGCACCGCCCGACCAGCCTCAACATCGACACCACCAAGGCCAACTTGACGCCACCAAGGCCAACTTGACGCCACCACCAACGCTGACATTGACGCCACCGCCAACGCTGACTTGCTGCCACAACCGACGCTGACTCGCTACGGCCACCATCAACACCAACTTTCCGCCACCATCGACGCCAACTAGCCGCCATGACCGATGCCAAATTGCTGCCACCGCCCACACAATGCCCTGCCAACACACACCAGCCAAGACCATCGACCCCAGTGGCAGTCACGCTCGCTGACTATAGGTGAGTGCATTGATCCGTGGCGTGCTGCACCACCGAACAACATTAGCGCTGACGCCTTATTGCTCTCAACGCTCACCTTCATCCTTACCCATCTAGCAGCATGACCCAGTCGCAACTACACATGACACCACGCACCTGCAATCACCAGCACCACCCATGCCACACTTGCCTTTGGTCAGTACTGTTGCTGCGGCACACCTCTGCTGCTCATCTGCCGCAGCACGCTGACGTTCCGCTCCTTCCCTGTATCCCTCTTCCTCAGGTCTGTCAACTGCTTGCTTTGCGCTGCGCTGCGCCCTGCATCAACATGCTGCTGCCGTCACCAAATCACCGCTGTCCCCGGCCTGTCCTCGCTGTGAGTTGGCTTCTTTCTGGCGCAGGTACTACTGCTGCTTGACAATGCACCTCGGTATTTGCCAATCATACGCTTGTCTCCAATTGCATTGTTGTTCTTAGTAGCTTAGGTAGTATCTTTGCAATCGATTTGATCCAATTGATTGTAGCTGCACTTCGGTCGTATCTAGGCTACAATCTGAAAATCGTAGGTAGGGACAGCCTAGCTACAATCTGAAAATCGTAGGCAGAGTACGACCTAAAATCCGCACACCTTGTCTGGATCCACAAATTGTTTGTGTAGAAGGATCTCCTACAATCTGAAAATTGTAGCCTGACTACGCCTAGCTACGATTCGAAAAATCGTAGGTAGCCCCTGCTGCTAGCTATGACTCTGAGCACCGTTGGCAGGCGTCCACGGTTGAGGATGACTACAGGATGGGCTGGCGAGGTGATCTGTTGATAGACGTCGTGTTTGCTAGACAATGGTAGCCTCGGGCTCTCGCGTTGATGGAAGACAGGCAAGCGGTGAGGACTGATATTGACTAGACTGGATGAGGGGCATCCAGTCTACCAACGCAGAGGAGGACTAGGCTATACACTGTCTACCTACGGCATCAAGGCATCTCTGCCTCGACCACTCAGGGGTAGCCTCCATTGTCCTATTGTCCTCCATTGTCAACCCAAGGCGTTGCTCCGAGGTGCAACGCCACCGACGTGCCCAGGGCCTAGCCCTGGGCCCTCAGAGCGGACCTGAGGTGTCCTCCTGCCAGCAGGAGCAACTGTGGAGCCACTCAGCGCGTGCGGCCATCGCCCGACGCGCAGAGGATTCATAGCTAGCAGCAGGATCTGGTCAAAAAACTCGCACGTGTATAACGATCTGAAAATCCAGCTGCAGCCAGCTTGTGCGATTTTTCAGAAGCGCACCAGGTGTGCAATCAGCTGCGATCTGAGATCCTGAATTTTTCCTGCCTGCGATCTGAAATCCACTCATAGTGGCCAGGATTTTAGATTGCACTTGTATAACGACTCTCAAATCCTGGATCGCACAGCCTGTGCGATAAGAAAAATCGGGAATCACTTTTGCTGCCAGCTATGATTGCTGGCGGCCCAATGATTCCTCTCTGCGGCCGCGCGGAGAGAATTCACCTTGGCTTGGGAAATCTTCTGCCCCGCTGGCCCACGCTGCTCAGCCCCGATTGAGCCAGGGCTGTGACAACGTGCCTCTTCTTGAGTCGGCCTGGGGTGGCAGCAATGGCGTCACACTTGGCCATTGTCTCCGCGCGCTCCTTGCTGCCCCAGGCGGGCAACTGGATCTGCCAGAGGCGGAGGCCGACGATACGCTGCTGACGACTCAAGCCCTCTCCTGCCTCTCCATCCTCCTCGTCATCAGCGTTGCTGCCAGCGTCATCGTCGTTGACAGAGAGCTCGTCGCTGACAATGTCCTGCTGAAGCGAGTCCTTGCGCGGGTCGTCCTTTGGGTCGTGGTCGATCATCTGCTTGATCGCCTCCTTCCTGGTGATCGACAGGTCCTTGCGCCGCTGCTTGTACTTGACCAGGTTCTGACGCTTCTTCTCCTTTGCTGCCTTCTTCGGGTCTGCCCTAGAATGACGGCGGTGGCTGCGCATCGAAAAGCGGCGTCCCTCCTTGATCACGTTGAGCGGGATGTTGTCCGCCACGCCATACTCGCGACAGTGGCCATCGATCCGCTCGCCTGCCCACTCCACAAGCGCGTCCTTGATCTCGTCGTTGTACTCGTAAGTCTGCCAGTCGATGCAAAGAGGCATAAGGGTGAAAGGCTCATTTTTCAGCTTGTCCCTAATGTGTTCGAACAGAGCAACGTTGTGGCTCAAGGTGAAGTGCTCGGGTTCAAAGGGCTTGTAGAGAGGAATTGTGCCCTCCGTCACGCCCATGATATGCCGCAGCACCTTGGTGAAGGCCCTCTTGGTCTCGCCAGGGATGTGAGGAGCAGCTTGCTTTGACAGCGACAAGCCGGCGCCGGCCTCAGCCAGGTTGGCGACCTCAAAGCAAAGGTCGGCAAGATCCTGGGCGTTGCGCTTGGCAGTCGCGACGAGCTGGGCGAGCTGGGCATCTTGGCGCATGTCGGCGGCCTTACTCTCTTCAGCATCGTGCTGGAGATCCTCAATCATGCTCAGAGTCCTGTTGCCCTGCTTGACCAGCTCAAGCAGAAGCTCGCGCTCAGACAGCATGTCGTCTTCGCCGCTGCTAGAGTGAGTACCACTCAGCCTGCCACTGCTGCGACGGTCGCGACGCTTGCGCTCTTCGTCGGCCGGGCTGACTCTTCCCCTCTTGCCGGACGATGCCCAGGACTGGAAAGTACCGCCAACAGGGAGAATCTCTCCTTCATCGTCGTCCGCCAGCGAGGAGCCAGCAACGGGCTCTTGCACCTGCAGCTGAGCTGCCGACCTAGCCCCCTTGCGAGTCGTACCGCAAGGCTTCGACATCCTGTTGTAGAAGAGCCAAAAAGTAGTGCGGTGCTGAGGGAGGGTGGGGGGGGGACGGTGGAGGAGGTGGCGGTGATGGTGGTTGCTGGGAAAGCCGCCCAGCCACCTGGCGTGCCAAATTTCACAGTGCCGCCTCCACATCTGGGATGCCTAGCCACCCTGCCCTGCTCCAGGGTCGAGGCTGTCCTTCGTCCCTAGAGTGCAAAGTCATGCTACGATACAGGGCCATACAGCCAATTCCGCCGCAGCCAGGCGGAGGTCTCCTACGATTTGGGTCGCAGGTGTCCTTCGGCCTTTTTGGGCCGCAGGAGTCCTCCAAGTTCCGACCGAAGGACCCTGGCGGCCCAAAAAGGCCGAAGGACACTCCTGATTTCCGGGCCCAGGGCCGAAGGACCCCTACGGCCCAAATCGTAGGTACCTTTGACGCTAGCTATGGTTGTCATCCACATCATACTCGCAACGGTGGCCATCGATCCGCTTGGCTGCCCACTCCACAAGCGCATCCTCAATCTTGTTGTTGTACTCGTAAGTCTGCCAGTCGATGCAAAGAGGCATAAGGGTGAAAGGCTCATTTTTCAGCTTGTCCCTAATGTGTTCGAACAGAGCAACGTTGTGGCTCAAGGTGAAGTGCTCGGGTTCAAAGGGCTTGTAGAGAGGAATTGTGCCCTCTGTCACGCCCATGATCTGCCGCAGCACCTTGGTGAAGGCCCTCCGGGTCTCGCCAGGGATGTGAGGAGCAGCCTGCTTCAATGGCAACAAGCTGCTGCCGGCCTTGGCCAGGTTGGCGACCTCAAAGCAAAGGTCGGCAAGATCCTGGGCGTTGCGCTTGGCAGTCACAACAAGCTGGGCAAGCTGGGCATCTTGGCGCGTGTTGGTGGGGCTGAGCTAAAACATTGCCAAGAAGTGTGACCTGGCACGACCCATCAAGGTTGAGCAATGATAGCTAGCAGCAAGATCTGGTCCAAAAAAATGGCACATCATAGCTAGCAGCAGGGTCGGGCCCGATTTGAATCGTAGGCAGGCTACAATCGGAAATTGGGCATAGACGCCTGTCTACGATTTTTCGATGCGCAGGCTAGCTACAATCTAGCTATGATCCGAAATTGTAGCCCACCCACCCACCTGCCTGCCTGCCTGCCGCCTTGCCGCGCCTCCGCACAGTCAATGCTGTCAATCATCGGAATCCTCGGAGAGGTCTCTCCAAGGATTCCGATGATTGACGGCCGCTCCGCTTCCGCTCCGCAGCAAGCAGTCAAGCTGGCTGGCTGGCTGGCAGGCTCGGGCGGGCAAGGTGGCTGGCAGGCTCAGGCACGCGGGCTGGCTGGCTTGAACGCGCGAGCTGGCTGGCTAGCGCGGCTGACTAAGCTTGCGCGCACGCAAAAAAAAATGTGGAGGCCAGGCCACGCTGCCAACCCTGCGTGCGTGTGCATGCAGGCTTGCTGGCTGGCATGCGTGCGTGCTCACGTAGGCTCGCTGGCTGCCAGCCGTGCCCACGCACGCCCTGACCGCCTGCCCGCCTGCCTTGGTATAAAGTCTTGCCCGCTCTGCTGTTGCTCCTTCCCTCCTGACCACTACCACCATCGGCCCTTTGCCTGCCATCAACCCTCGCCCGCCATCGGACCCTTCGCCCGCCACCGCCACCCGACCAACGTCAACGTCACCCACCGGCATTGACGTCGCCAACACCACGCGCGTGCTCCACGCCAATGCCAACACCGATGCCGACTCGCTGCCACAGTCAACGCCAACTGGATGCCACCATCGACACCAACTTGCTGCCACCACCACCGCCCAGCCGCCATTGCTCACGCGACCAAGGCTGCTTCTCGCTAACGCAAGTACCAAAGCTGTCCACCCGGGGCCGCCATCTGCCGATCTCGGGCATCGCGCTGACGTTGGTTCTCTGCCACCTTGTTGCCTCTCTGCAGCATACGTGACACGCGCCACGCGCTTTGCGGACCACCAAGACGTCAGCAGGTGAGTCGTATCCTCTTTCAATTCCGTCGCATCTAGCGCATTGACGACGCTGCGCCTGGCACAATTCTGACACTGCTCCTTCTCTCCGTCTCACCAGCAGCCGCCGCCACCAAATTGACGCTGACCCTGGCCTGCCCTTGCTGTGAGTCCCCCCTGCTGGCGTAGGTGCTGCTGCCGGTCGATGGTGCTAATGACAGCCTTGGTATTTGCCAGTTGTATGCTTGTCTTCAGTTGCATTGTTGTTTGCAGTAGCGTAGATAGCGTATTTTGCAATCAAAGCTAGTGTACATGATCAATAGATCGTAGCCTGCACTTTGGTTGTAGCCTGGCTACGATGCAAAAATCGTAGGTAGGGCTAGTCTAGCTACGATCTGAAAAAATTGTAGGCAGTACACGACCTGAAATCCGCACAGCTTGTCTGGATCCATAAATTGTTTGTCTAGAAGGATCCCCTACGATCTGAAAATCGTAGACAGGCTACGCCTACCTACGATTTGCCACATTGTAGGTTGACTCTGCTGCTAGCTATGCATGTATAATGATTTGAAACTCCAGCTGCAGCCAGCTTGTGCATTTCTCAGAAGCGCACCAGGTGTGCGACAGCTGCGATCTGAGATCCTGAATTTTTCCTGCCTGCGATCTGAAATCCACTCATAGTGGCCAGGATTTTAGATTGCACTTGTATAACGACTCTCAAATCCTGGATCGCACAGCTTGTGCGATAAGAAAAATCGGGAATTCTTTCTGCTGCTAGCTATGTATGATTCCTCCCCCGCTGCTCATGACGGGCCATGATACAGGGACGCTTCAACGCTCGTGCCTCGATGATCTGCCACCGTGTTGCTTAGCTAGCGCCTCGAGGATGCTTGCCAGACTCTGTCCTAGCGGCCAAACCCCACCCGCTCCGTTTGCCGCCTTGAGTCTCGATGCAACGACGTTGAGGATCCTCGTCGGGGCCATCGGGTTGGCTAGATTGCCGACAGAATCCAGAATGTAAACGGTTTCTCCTAGTTCCTGATACCCCAAGCCAGATGGCAGGGAGGAATTGCTGGTGCCGATGTCCGAACAGCCTGGTGATGTGGACGGCGTCAGGCGGCCGGACAAGGCAGAGGAGGCGGTGGACTCAGACCAAGCTTCGGGCGCAAAGGGTGACAGCACGCTGTGAGCCAGGAGACCAGCGCTCGGTATCTTCGGGGCCTCTTCGATGCGCACCACCTTCTTGATCGGTGTTGCTAGCGCCGCAGTGCTGCCGGCCTTGTCCTGACCGGGGAACCTCGGCGAGAGTGGCTCATCGGCTGCCCTGTGCTCTTGCAGAGCGAGCGTCGAGACAGCGTATAGGCTAATTGCGGCATAGAAGAGGACAACACATTCGAGTGGAGATCGCTCCAGACTCGAACGGGTCAAGCGCCAGATCTGGCCCGCATGCAGCACGATGCTCTTCGTCTTCTGAGACTCGCCGCCACATAACTCAGAGGCGACGCGTCGGCAGGTCTCCTGCATTGTCCTCGTGCCTCGACGGCAAGAGAGCGCCTGCAGATCCTTGCTGTTCATGAGCAGGAAGAGCTGCGATGCATGGAGCCAAAGCTGGGCTTCGACCTCGCCGCGCTCGCCGTTGCCAATGACGGCCAGCGCTGCGTCCAGTACGTCCCTTGTCCGTGCCTTGGCGATAGATGCCGACTCGAGCATCGCCGGGCAAAAGGCTGCAAGACTATGCGCTGAGCGAGCGCCGAGATATAAGCCAGCGGAGACGCAAACACGTCCGAAGGGAGACAGGGCCGCAAGGGTCGGGGCCCTGTCGCGGCTAGTGCCCGGGCCAGCCTCGAATGCCTGGCCGTCAAAGGTGGTGCGTCCGGAAGTCAGGGCTCGACAGACTTCGGCGAGCTTCGGCTGCGAAGTCAGGAGAAGCGCGGATGTGCCGCCGGCTTGGCATCTCCCTGCAAAGCTCGAGTCTCCAAAGCGCCGAAGCGCCACGGCGACCCAGATCTCAGCTGTCGGCGCCGACCACAGCTCCTCGTGACACGGCAAGGCCCCACTTGTTTCGTCGACAGAGAAAATAGGGGGCAAGTCCCAGGAGAGGGAGAGCTCGGCTTCTGAGACGAAAGCCACCCAGCCTGTGCGGCGTCCGCCCTCCCAGCGGATCCAGGCCTTCCACTCGGCGTCGCAGTCCGATCCTGGGGCGAGGCGAGGCGGTGCGATGTCTTCCAGCAGCCGTGCGCGGCGGATCATGGTCACGTAGCTGTTCCGGAACGCCTCGGCGTGCTCGAGCTTAACCGGATCTCCGAGGTTGCGGAAGACGATGTTGATGAGCGTGAAGGTTTGGAAGGTCGAGGTGAACCTGGACAGCTCGTGGTTCTGATAGACGGCAGCGCCGATGCTCCGGTGAGCCAGCATTGCCAGTGCCAGTCCAGTGTCCTTCGAATTGGGGACGTGGGAGAAGTGAGCGCCGACCGCGCAGATTGCCGTGAGCAGCAGGGCCTCGCATCTTTGCGGGCTAAATGTCGGCTGGTGAAGGAAAGGGTGGGTGCGATGGAAGTGGTGGAAGTAGAGTTGGAGGTAGAGGTTGAGGGTTTCCGCCTTCACCCGGCCAAAGATGTGGCCGAGCCATTCAGAAATGTGGCTCTGCGCCTCGTGCTCCTGAAGCACGCGGCAGATGCGATCTTTGACTGCCTCGGTTAGCGGGGGCACTTGGGCCGTATCCTCGACCATCAGGTGTTCTTCAGAAGCGTTGGTAAACTCGTAGATGGAGAACATGCTGTCGTTGGCGTTTGGATTCCAGCGATTAGGCCAGATCGTCGACTGAGCGGGCAGAGGGGCTGCGGCCTTGGTCGTTTCTCTTGCTGGGCTCGGTTCGTCCATCGTCTCCTCGCGACTGGAGCATTCGGGGCTTTGCCATCGAGATCGTGTCTCGCCGTTCGGAGGCGGCGGGACCTGCCCAGCACCATCGCCGAGGTCTTCGTCGGGCATTCTGCTGACCGTGCACCCTGTCTGGCCTGCAAGCTGCAGCCGCCAGGCATCTCCATCCAGTAGGACTCGGCCGACTCGCTCCGCTTCATGAGGTTCGCGGCCGTGTTGCGCCCTCCTGTCGGCAGACAGAGATGCGCCAGGGCGCTTCTCGCCGACGTTGCAGCCCGTGGACAAAGCGCCTTCTGCCCTGTTCATTTCGATGCGACTCAGCTCTGCTGCGCTTCCGAGCAACATCAATGGCGATGGGTGCACAGCAGCCGTGCTCGCAGTGGAAGTGTAGCTGTCCACAGGCTCACGGCATGGATCTTGTGCCGCTCGCGAGACGGTCGGCGCGAGGTTTGGTGTTGGCGCGGCTGGCGTCAGGCCGGGTATGTGAAGCTGCTGCATGGGAAGCTGATCCTCCAAGGAGGTCCAGTCCAGGAACGACTCGTCGTCCGGGCTTTCGCCAAACATCCAGCCCATCTGACCAGATGCCGCTGTTTTCGATTCTTGATTGGCCGAAGGGGCGTTCAGCCAGCCCAGGAACGACTGGAAGGACGTGGGCGGCTGCTGATGCTGAAGGTGAGCAGTGGCTGCGTCGGCCGCGATTGGCCGAGTGCCGGGTTGTGAAGGTCCCTGTACCACTTGCTGAGCCGTGGCTTGGTTCGAAAACTTTGGCTGAGGCACCGGAGGCATGACCAGGCTGTCCGCCTGTTGGCGATAGGGGTGCTGATCGTCGGGGATGTGCAGGACGTCGAGCCCCGCGAGCGTGGGCACACGAGCATCGGCATCATGCATCGGGCCAAGGTCTTGACCTGACATGGGAGATTGGGCCTCGGCTGCCGCTGGATGAGCTGTTGGCTCAGGGCTCGGTTCGTCGTAGACCGAAGCGGTCTGATGAGCTCCTGTGAAGGGATGGTATGACATCGCACCTTGAGCAGCAGCCGTCGAGGCGTCTCCGGCTACGGCCTCGGATGTCGAGGCTGTGGTGTAGGAGCATGTCTCGTTTGGCATGCGTACACAGCGGGAGCAAGACGGACGCACACCGTCGCACCGCAGCTTCATGCGGGCGCAGCGCGAGCAAGCTGCTCAGAGAGCGTACCGATAAAGAAATCGAAGCACGGCGGCGGTGTCAGCGTCCAGTACTCTGAATCTCGACGCTGACGTTGATGGCCCCGGCTCATGATGTCAATCTCACCTGCATCGACCTTCCTAAGCGCGGACCGCTGTCTGCTGCTGAGCGAGTCCTCGCGCGACAGCTGTTCCGAGCGCACTGCGTGCGCCCTTGCGTGGCGCTGCAGGACGTCATGCCTGCGGAAGCGCTTTCCGCACTGCTCGCACTCGAAGCGAGCCTCTCCGGAGTGGGACACGAGGTGTCTGGTGAGATGCTCCTGACGCAGGAAGGCCTTGCCGCATTCGGGGCAGGCATAGGGGCGTGGTGGGGCGGCCTGTGGGTCGTCGTCTTGGTCGGCCGCAGTTATTCGAGATTCGTGAGGCGGGCCGTGGACGTCGGAAAAAACAGAAGCGCGGGCAACACGGCCATCGCTATCCGAGGGGAGCTGGATCGATTTGGAGGCATCGAGACTTTGACCGTTCGATGAAGGGCGACGACGTCCTTGATACTGCCCGCTGTCATCGATATCCTTGTCATTGCTGTGGTCGCCGTTGCTGCTGCCGTCGAGGCTCGCCTGTCGCCTCTGCCGCTTGGACGGACGGGCGAATGTCATGGCCGAGGCGAGCGATTTGATGCGAAGCGATAAGGCGGAGAGCGCAGGGCAGAGCGGGACCAATGCTCGGGTGACGAGCCGGGCGGGAGATAGCCGCGTGTGACTATGGCGGAAGAGGAAGAATGGAGACGGTCGAAGGATGTCAAAATGCGCGGTATGCGCGGTATGCGCGGCGTGCGCGGTAGAGGGGGCGCTTGGCCCGATGTTGATTCGACAAGGGCGATGTCGTTGAAGATGGTGGTGAGCGTGAGGGTAACTAGCCTGCGAGCTGCAGTCGGCGGGCCAGGTGGGCCAAGGCCTGCTTTCCGGGGAGGGTCCCCGCATCTTTTCCATGACCCGCTCCGCGCTGCTGAGATTCGCGCCCCACTCGACCCGATGCCTTTTCTCCCGTCCAGCTATCCGCGCGATAAAAGCTCGGCCACGCCCCGCCCTCACGCGTCTTTGGCACTTCGGCATCGTGAACTGACCGCCCAACGCAAGCCCCGCTCGACCTGCTGCCACAGTGAGGCGGAGAAGAGAGACGGGCAATGCGCTTCGCTGTCCAAGAGCGCGCGCTCTTTCTTCGCTGGGCGTCTTGGCTTTGCAAGCTCGCGCTCACCCTCGATCCGGCCACCACGGTTCACGCCTAGCAGCCACCGCACCCATGACACGTTCTTCTCATCACGCTGCAGATCAAAACATTGTGTTCGGGTCGACGATCATCTCCCCTTCCCTCCGTTCGCGATTCTGGAAATGGGGACCTCCTGGTCCGCCAAGGACGGTGTTGCACTCGTTCAAGCGTCGTGCCGTTTTCCGCGTTAGATTCGTTCAAAGGGCGTGGAATACAAAGGTTGCGAATCCGTGATTGCGCTAGACTGCGCGAGGTACAGGCTGGTCGAGCTTCACTTTTCAATAGCAGGGGCGACGGCGCTGGTCGAGGTGAAGGGCTTGTTCTTCTCGTCTTTGGCTGTGTCGAGCTCATCGCTGGAGTCGCCGCGCGGGCTCCAGCCGGCGCCGGATTCAAGCGCGGCAGGCATCGAGTGCGAGGGGACCTCCTCTCCACGGATGGGTCGGCGAGAAGCGCGGCCGATCTTGTACCAGGGCAGGTCGAAGATCTCGTCGATGGTCTCGAGACTCTTTCCAGAGGTCTCGGGGAGGAAGAAGAGGTAGAAGGGCAGGGAGCATGCGAGCGAAGCAGCGCAGAAGACGGCAAAGGTGCCGCCGGCCTTGAGACCCGAGTTGAGCATCGGCGTGAGCGCACGTGTCACGCTGTACTGCAGAAGGTAGTGCAGGGCCATGATAAAGGCAGACGCCAGCGATCGGACGCGGAGACCAAAGATCTCGGTGTTGATGAGGTACTGGGCGAGGTTGCCGCCGGCCGACCACGCGGCGCCTCCGACAAAGATGGCGGCGATGGCCGCCTCGCTCGCAGCCTTCTTGCCCTTGGTGTGGTTCCCATCGATGTACAGGCTGAGGAATATGGCCATGTAGAGGTTGGAGAGGCCTTGGAAGACGACGCCTCCCAGCAGGGTCCTCCGTCGTCCGAGAAGATCGATCAGGAAGAAGGACGAAAGCACTCCGGCCGCCAGCTTCACCGTGCCGAAGCCCACGCTTGTGACGTATCCCTGAGAGTTGTCGACGCCGATGATGGTGAGAATACGGTTGGCGTAAGTTGAGATGGCGCCCGCGCCAGTGTACTGGCCGAAGATTTGAATGGCGATGGCAATCATGAGCTTGTACTGGTTGTTCTTCTCGCCAAAGAGCTCTCGGACCTTGTCCATGAAGGAAAAGCCGGTGAGGGCCGCCTTTTCGGCCCGGACGGAATCAGCAATGAGCTCGAATTCCTCTGCAAAGAGGCGGTTGGTGGGCTCCATCTGTCGGTAGTAGGCGAGCGACTTGGCAGCGTCGTCGTGGCGTTCCTTCTGCATCAGCCAGCGGGGCGACTCGTGAATGAAAAAGGTGCCGACGAGAATGATGGCATGCCAGCCGTAGTTCATGATGAGCGGCACTTGCCAGGCGATGGCCTTGGTGTCGTCCATGTGCCGCTTTACTGCGAGGTTGATAGAGTATCCGAGGAGGAGACCGACGTAGACGCTGGCCGAGTAGACAGAAGTGCAGAGGCCGCGGATCTGGCGAGGAGCGATTTCGACGAGGAAGACGGGAGCGCAGACGGGAGTCATGCCAACGCCGATGCCGTTGATGGCCCGCCCGACGTAGAGCATGGCGATGTTGTTGGCGCCGATCCAGAGCGAGGTGCCGAGGAACATGAGGAGGCAGCAGATTTGGGAGGAGCGTACACGACCAAAGCGGTCGCAGGTCAGGTAGCCAACGACGGCACCCACGACGGAAAAGAGCTGAACCATTGCCACAACGTTGGACTCTTTTTCCGTGTGCTCCTCGATGTCGAAGGTCGTCTGGAAAGATTCTGCTCGGTGGGGACGGCCCGAGATGAGACCAGGCGCGGTGGTCAGCAGAGCGTCGGGGCGAAGGCGGTGGGCATTGTGCGTAGATATCTGTGGGCTGCGACGCGTGACCGGAGCTGGTTGTGACTCACCCCTCTGCATTTCTCCCGAGATGATGCCCTCGTCGAGGCCACGGGTGGCGCCGAGGAAGCCGATGCAAATGACGCCAACGAGGAGGCGCCAGTTGAGGGCTTCCTTTGGCACATCACCGATGTGCTGCATCTTGGACGGCTTCCACATGGTGGGCGGATCAGTGCGAGCGTGCAGCGGACGAAGTGTGGACAGGCTTGAGGCGCGGAAGGACGTCTGAAGGGATGTGTGTAGGCCCTCGGCAAAAGGGCAAGAGTCGAGTGAGAGTGAACAAGCCTGGTATCGGTGTCGAAGGGGGAGATTGCAGAAGCAGGGGACGGCTTCGCTCTTATACGCTTTCGGCCACGCCAACAAACGTTGGCGGAGCCCCAGGTTTTCCAGCAACGGCCGAGACGCGAGTGCATGCCCTCTCCTGGCCTTCGACTCCAATGATCAGGAACGCCGCTGCGCTGGTTGGTCTCGACGACCTTGGAAGAGCAGCGACTTGGCCGGCCGATGGCCGTTTGCCGTCCATGGGCTGTTGCGGAAATTGGCGCGGTCCTTGCCTCTGCAGGCAGACAGAGATCGAGTGCGGGGAGCATCTGAGCAACGTGGATGGGTGGAACCGGAACGAACACCGCAGCAGGGGAACTCGTGTGGCTTGCCACAGTCGAAGCGCATAGATTGGCCCGGGGTGCATACGTCGAGAGGTCGGCTGGAGACGACGCGGCGGCAGACGGCGATACGAAGTTCAAAGACGTGTACATCCTCCTGCGATGTTCAAGGATTCGGCGCCCTCGGTTCCCTAACGTAATAGTTGACCGGTGGCGCTGTCTTCACGCCGTTCGCCGAGGCAGAAATAAACACAGTAAGTACAGTAGTATCATGTCCGGCGTGGCGCGCCTCGAGTCGAGGCAAGTCTGGGCTCCACGGGCTTGGTCAAGCCCAAGTGCCGGTTGCTGTTCAGGTGGGAGGGCTGCTCGGAGCTTTCCGAGTCGGCAGCCGAGCCCCTGTTTGACGTTGACGCTGCTGTCAAGTTACCTATGTAGAGGTGGAGCACGGGTTCTCATAGGAGTAGGTGGTGCCGGTACCGCAGCATCCTACATTCGCCCCTGTGAAGCCAAGTCGCGAATCGCGCTGAAGGCTCAAGCAGCGGATACCATGTCACTCCATGCTGTGGCTTCGCTCAGAGAAGAGCCAGCAGGGTAGCAGGCGTATGGATTCGCGAAGAGGGATGGAGGTTCGCGGGATCCTAGCCTGATCTGCATCGATTGGACGGTGAAGACCTACCGACTAGATGTAGATGGTTACAGAGTGGGGGCTGCGCGACCAAAGCGAGCTGCAGTTGGCACTGACTACCTGTTCCAAGTACGAGCTCTTGTCCGATGCCTCCCGTATCGGCTGTCCAATAGGGTGCCCTAGCTAGCTAGGTAGCAACGCGACGCCAAGACCAAGGGCGGCTTCACTTTATGCACGATAGGCAGGTCCAGCTGCACCCCGCGCTGCAGAGGTACACATATATTCTGTACTTCGAGCCGGGGGCAAAAGACCGCCGCTCCGCTCCGCGGCGTTTTGCGCCGCCTGTCCGCAACCGGGCGTACCGTAGGGCACTTTTCGCAGCGCCGGTCCGCCGCCCAGTTGACCGCCCACCGGCCCAGACACCCCACGCCTACAACTAGTGTACGAGGTCGCCGATTGCTTCTCATAAACGCTGGTTCCCCTACGTGCTCTGCCTGAGCCCGAGCCAGCACTCCTACACACATACAGAAATAATGTTCGCTTATTGGGTCAGAGGCTCGTCTCTACCCGTTTCGTCCTGTTGCGGTGCCCCCTGCGCCGAAGAGCCAACCGCATATGTCGACCAGCCGTCTCTAGAGCGCCTTTGATTGGACAAGCAAGGGCGTATGATCAGTCGTGAGGACCTGGGTGGCACACCATTGACCATGGCATTGAAGCCCGAGACTCGATGAACAGAACGCCCACACTCATTCAAATTACTCTGCACTACGCTTACCGTGCTCGCGGCTATCGGACAATCCCGGATAGACACATACATAGGTGCCTCTTGCTGCGGCATCATTGGTCGCCAGCGTGGCCGCGGCATCAGCGCGCGTGGTTGCATCCTAGATCGACCGAGGCATCACCGACCCGTCCGCCCGCGGAGCCATCCGTGGCCCATCCCACATGTCTGTTTCGCAACTAAAATGTGGGTTCGGCTCGCTGTGCCCCGTGTGTTCGCCGGTCGCGTGGCCGAGGCCAGCGTTAGAGGCTCAGCAACGCGACCCGCTCTGGTCTCGCAGCTCTGTGCCAACGCTCTGTGACACTGGCGGGACTCAGGATCCTGGCATCTCGGTACGAAACCATTGTTCCTTACTAATCTCAGCGTAGTGCACGCCTAGTGTCTTCGTCCGTGGTGCGACCCTTGTCCACACATAAACGCATCCCGGCCGGCCGAACTACCGCTGAAAACTTCGATACGACCTTGCTGTGCTACCGTACCCTTCCCTTGGTTCTCATGACTCCATTTTCAGGCTCCGAGGGCCTGTCACGGTAGATCAGTCTAGGCGCCCGGGTCCGGAAAGGGCTACCTATGTTCGCAGGCTCAGACGGGCTGGCATACAGGCCGCGTCTCGACCTGTGCCGGAAATGACGTTTCTGCGGTGTGCGTGTGTGTGTGCCCTTGACTTTGCGATCGATTCCTCAGCGACAACTACCGGAGTGGAGCACGCTGCCTCACATGTATCGAAGTACCGCCCAGCGACCCACGCGGAAAAGTGCATAGAGACCGCCCAGGACGCTGCCGCCCAGGACGCTACCCCAGAACAAGAAGAGACCTTGGAGGAAGAAAACTCGCAGCAGCGGCAGCTTGACATGGGCGCGCGAGGCCTTGACCAGTCGGCGAGTCTTGTTGATCTGCTTCTCGAGTGCCTTCCGGGTCGCCGGGGCTGGCGAAAGCAAGGATCCTGCCTCGACAGACTGGAGCTGGACGCGCGCACTTTGACCGAAAAGCTCGGGAGACCAGCGGAGCGCGCCGGACGACAACCGTGGCACATAGCTCGAGACTGTCAGACCAAGATTCGACTATCGAGTCAGCCAAAAAAAGGAGCCACCAAGCCGTCCCGCCCTGGTCAACGTCACTCACATAGCAGATCCAATGCGAGGTGGTTGATGGAGAAGGTCGACGCCAGCTCGGCAGTCATGTAGCGAATCTCGGCCTCGTCGTGTGAGTAGATCGCGCAGGTGCCGTTCAGCCTGTGCAATACCCGTGCGGGCAAGCTGTCGTCAGCACATGTGTAAATCCTGCGCCAGTCCCACCGGGGCCTGTCATCCCGTCAACAGCCAGCCAGACACTCACTTCAGATTTTCGACAACGAAGAAGGCGTGCTCAGTGCTCGACACTGCGATCAGAACGAGGATGGGAACCCGAGTGACGGTCTCGAGGAATCCCGGATCGCTGAGGAGGCTCGCGAAGCGAGCGTTTGCCTTGGGCGCAGGCAGCGTGACGATGCCCGGTGCGGCGTTGGCCTGCACTGGTCTCACGATCGCCAGCTCGCCTGCCTTGCTGGCTGCGTAGAGTAGGAAGTCGAGCTGCTGAATGTCCTTTTCAGATCCCTGGATCGCCTCGACGTTGCCGGCTGCAGAGAGGAGCGCGCTCTGCACAGCCTCGAGCACGTCCTCCTTGACGAGCAGGAAGCGAGGAGAGGCGACGTTGCGCCCAGCAGCCAGGACGGCCGAGCGCATCAGCTCTTCGCCCACGTTCTTCCATACGTCGGTAGAGCTGTTGCGGGCGAAGGAGTCAGAAAGGTAGGCATAACCGGGAGAGGCCAGAGCCTGAGCGACAGACTGGCTGCCGGGGATGCGAATGTCAAAGTTGAAGGAGGCCAACGCCTCAGAGCTGGCGGCATGCTCCTTCTCGCTGCCGGGAGCGAAAAATACTAGGGTGTTCTGCGGCAGTTCCGCCGCCATTTTCCCAACCAGCACGGCGTTGAGGGCCGGCAGGCGCGGCGAGAGCTGCGCGGAGACGACGTTAAATCGGCGTCAATACTGCTGCACGGCGAATCAAGACTATCCGGCATCGGGGTCTGTTGCACCGCCACTTACAGCACAGCACACGACGTTGCCCGCGAGCAGGGCCGAAGAAGCAGGCGCAAAGAGGTCGTACAGAGGCTCTGGCGTAAGTCGAGACCAGAGGCGGGAGGGAGATCCGGTGGTCAGACTTGCGCTTCGCGTTCGATTCTTTCGCCTCTTTCTCGGTGTCCGTCACCACTCACTGTCTTCCCTTGCCAATATCAAGACCGCGCCAACGGGTTTCTGCACGTGCAAGACGCCACCCTTTTTCTCCTCTGCGGTAAAGTGTGCGGGAAGCGGACCGGACCTGACGGTGGGCTTGCAGGCTCTCTGCGTGGCGTCGGCAACGTGCTTAAGTGCCAGCGTGTACTCAAGCTCGAGCGTGGTGCGCGAGACGCTTCCATCGTAGTCGGCAAAGGCGGCGTCCAGGAGGTCCTCCTTGCTGCCGTTGAGGAACGCTGGGGCGAGCGAGCGAGGGAGAGATTGGCAAAGGGGAAGAGAGCGAGAGCCGGGAGGCGTGACAAGCAGTGAGCTCACGGCACTCTGCGGATGGTGACGCTCAAGTGCTTGGACGGCCTACCGAAGAGCGACTCGAGAGTCTTGAAGCGAAATGCGGCGTTTTGAGCCAGTCGGCCGTCGACGACGGCGTCGCGCACGTCTCTATAGACGCCCTCGACGCTCTTCGACGCTGTGAGATGCTTCCCGATCGACATGCTTGTAGAGTTGAGCAGTGGAGGTGAGGACGGTGACGGGAAAGAGAGAGGCAGACGGAAGTGATGGTGAGCGGAGAGGGGAAGCTGGCCAGAAACCCAAAGTCTTTGGCTGAGCGGTTGCTGTGGCGCTCCCCACATAGCCGTATGCCATGACGGCTAGCCAGGCAGCTGAAGCACGAAGTAGGGCGGGAGAGGGGAGAAGGGCCGCCTCTTGCGTTCGATTGCAAAGCCAAGCGGGCTGGCCTGCCATGTTGCATCCAGCAGACCGGAGAGCCGGCATACATGGTAGGTGTGCCAACGCGGGGGGGGGAGGGATGGGGGGGGTCAGGGCCAAAAGGCAAGCTTGCTTGCAAGCAGCTGCCCCTTGTCGATCTGTGGCCCTGCCTGCTAACGAGGTGGTTCCGGTGGGGGGCAGAGGGTCATCCCGGCCGAGGGTCGTTGGGAAAAAAGAGCTCGGCCTGCGTTCCCCATTGCAGCCGAAGGTGGAGCGCGCCCCCCCCCCCCCCCCCCACCGCGGCTCGTCCGCATGGCGAGCTCCGTTTGCCCAGACCGCACACCCTCAACGCCGACCCCGCACCGGCTTCGCAAGGCCGCCGTCGGGCCAAGTGGCGAGGGGTTTCCGCCACAACTGCGCAGCGCCGGCCCGAAAGCGTCCCTGCTTGAGACCAACTTGATGGCCCCCAGCGCGGCACTGCCGGCAGCAATGGGCAAAGTCAGAGCCAGCCTTGGAACCACGACTCGAGGAAGGGCAAAGACGAGTGCAGCGTACATGCCTCTGCACCATCACCATCCTCGCTCGCTCGATCGCCAGCCCGACAAACAACCGCGACTTCCTCAACGACAAGCGCCCGCCATGCCGGTCCCCGTGAGCGACGTCAAACCAACCACGCCGGCTTTTTTCTTTGTGAGTCTGAGAGTCTTTGGATCGAGACGTTGGCGCAAAGTCGTGGCTGTGGTCCGATGTACTGACGCACCGTCTTTGCCAACCCTCTTCGCGGGACGGGATCGGCCGCGGCTTGCAGAGCCATGGATCGACCATGATGCTTGGCGAAGACTCCACTCCGGCGCGCTACTGGGAGAAAATGGGACAGGAGGCCCTGCGCCGCGGAATCAAGCAGGTCATCATGATGGGAGCTCACTGGGAAGTGACCGGCGACACCATCCACGTCGCGAGCAACCCGACACCCCCCAACAAGCAGCCCGTTGCCTGGGTCGAACCGGCGAGGGTGAGTGCTGAGCCTTGACCTGGGCTCGCTTTCTGCGCCCAGATCTGCGGTCTGCGTGCTACCCGACACTGATACGCTCGCACTGGCCGCCTTTCCCTTGGCCGGATGGCAGTACGTCGACTACAAGATCAATGCCTCGCCCCGGCTGGCAAACAAGGTCGTAAAGCGCCTGCATGCAAATGGCATCAAGGCCAAGACGGATTCAGACCTCGAGTGGATCCACGACACCTTCATCAGTGAGACGGCGACGGCGGACGCCGCTGTGTGAGGGTCGAGAGAAGACCGCCAGGCTGACGCCGCCCGGTTTGATTTCGATGCGGCAGTCCTCTGCTGGATGTTCCCAGCCACGAAGCAATTTCCGCAAGGACAGTGCCCGGAGGTGACGGTCATTTCCGGCCTGGCAGACTACGACGCCCCGCTGCTGGTCGACATCGGTAAAGCGCTGCGGCCTTTCCGACAAGAGGACACCTTGATCATTGGTACTGGCGGTACCGTCCATAAGTGAGATTCCGTCGCTCCTTCGACTCTTTCCGCTCTCGAGCTGACGAGACGCCTCTCGCGATCGACTTGGGTGACTGCTACCGCCTCGCAGCCTCTACCGGAACAACTGGAAGCAGATTGTGCTATTCCGCGACAACTTCGCCCAGGAGCGACCCCCGGAGAAGTGGGCGCTGGATTTCCGGACCGAGGCTGAGGATGCCGTGACCAAGAACACGGTGAGCGACTCCTGCAGCTGCTCGCCTGCCTTTGCCGGCTGAGCCGGTCTGTGGATGGGATGGGGCGCCTTGACAAGGGATCGATGCTGACCCTCTGCGCGCCTCTGCAATCACAGGGCCGAGCGCTGCCGCGGGCAACGCTGCGCCTGATGCGCCACCCGCTGTACCGCGACGCGCACGCCACCGACGACCACTATGCACCGCTGCTCTTCGTCGCGGGCGCCGCGGGCACCGAAGAGGACGAAGGCAAGCCCAACACGGTCGAGGCCGAATGCTGGGAGCTGCAGAACATGTGCAACACACGTGAGTAGCCCAGCAGGGGCTGTGAAGAGCTCCTTTCGACGTTAGAGGCTTTGACTGACGACTCCGCCCACGCCTACCTCTTGCGTCCCTTGTGGACAACGCCCTGACAGAGTTCAAGTTCGGTGACTGGGAGTAGTGTGCATGTTTCTTGTGTAGTCGCTTCAAGCTGTCCGCAGCCGCCTCGGCAACTCGAGTCCTTGCCTTCGTGATCATCGAGTGTGTGGTCGCAACGCATGTGACTTCTCCCAAAAGTTCGAGGTCGCGACGCGGCCGCCCCGACGGCGGAAGGGATCGAAAAGGGCTTACAGCAGATACACACAGCCTGGCAGCTGTTCCGAGCTAGGTCGCGGCAAAGGTCATGTCATTGCACGGTCAGAACGGGGGGGCGGAAGAAGGCAAGGAACGGGTCGGGAAAGGATCTAGAGCTCGTGCGGGGCCTGGTAGCGGAAGAAGCCTCGGAGTGCCTCGAACCGTCCAAATGTGTTTCTCCAGAAGGTGTTGGTGAGGCCGATGGTCTGTACGCCTGCGCCAATCATGGTCCTGACAAAGATCTGCTCTGGGATCGAGTTGGCCCATTGCCTGCCGAGCACCAATGATGAGATGCAAGGTTGCGATCGGAGTCAGAGAAGGCGGCCCATCGCGAGGCAGAAGTGAGCGGGAGGGGCGAGGCTCGCGACGTACCTCCTCGAGGTGTCCTGTCGGTAGTCGATGGGTCTGTAGACGGGCGTTCCCCTCTGCTGCGGCCAGCTCTCTGCAGATCAGGGGTGGCGGAGGGATGGTCAGCGCCTTGCCCTGTAGCCGATGCGGGACGAAACGGTGAGGCAGGCTCGACTCACCGGGGGCGATCCAGTCGCGAGAGGATCCGCCGCCAGGGACGCCGTGAGCGGGGGCGGGTGAGTGCCAGGCGAGGTCGTTGGGGGAAGCCGACGAGGACGGGCTGGGTTGCGAGTGGGCGGCGTGGTGGTCGATCAAGTCGGCATGGTCGGTGAGTTGGACGATAGCGCCCTCTGCAAAGGTGGCGAGGGTGCGGGTGGTGGTCGACGACATGGCTGGCAAGAGGATGCGGCGCTCGAGATGCGACGATGCGACGAAGAAGGGCTTGGATACCGTGGCAGCAGAGTGTCTTGGAGGAGAGCAGCAGCAGGACGGGTGGCAATACAGTGGTTGGATCGAAGAAGGCGGCGGAGTCTCTGGGATGGGTGCAATGGCCAGCCAGGACGGCTTGGGCGATGGCACCACGACTCGCGGCCAGGCTGGAGCGGCCCGTAGGCTGGCAAGGGACCCTCGGACCCTCTCCGCCGCCGGGAGGTGGTGCCGGTATACACCTGCCTGCCTCACTCTCACCCAGCCGCAGCCGAGCGATGCTACGGGGCTACGGTAGCGGCCGGTAAGGGGGGGGGGGGGGCGTCGTCGAACCAACCAAGCCGAGGCCTGCGCACCTCAGCAGGGAAGCCGAAGGCAGGCTATAGGGCAGGGCACGAGT